CCAACTTAAATTGGCAATCAAGTCCAGTGTATAAAATGCTCGGGTTAACCTGGCAACCCGATGCTGACCATTTCATCTTCAACGTGAAGATGTCAGAGTTGCCTTCCAAAACTACTAAACGCCACGTGCTCTCCATGATCGCACAGCTGTTTGACCCTCTAGGCTGGCTCGCCCCAGCGATCGTGACTGCAAAAATCTTTATGCAATCACTCTGGCAACTAGACTTAGGTTGGGATGAACCCTTGCCAGACTGCAAGTCCAATAAGTGGAAAAATTTCTACTCCCAACTGAATCTACTCGCACAAGTCAAGATACCAAGGTATATCGGACTTTCACCATCTAATCGTCTTTGCGAACTCCATGGGTTTTCCGATGCTTCGGAGCAAGCATACTCGGCTGTCTTTGCGAACTCCATGGGTTTTCCGATGCTTCGGAGCAAGCATACTCGGCTGTCCTCTACATACGAGTGTCAAACAACAATGACTTGTCAACAGTCAGATTACTGGTTTCAAAAACCAAGGTTGCGCCATTGAAAATGATAACCTTGCCCAAGTTGGAACTGAACGCAGCTCTTCTGCTGGCTAAACTTTCATCGGTGGTGCAAACTACACTCAACTTACAGCAGGTACCTCTGCACTTGCACTCTGATTCGACCATAACACTCCATTGGATCAGAGGTCATCCTACTCGATGGAAAACATTCGTGGCAAACCGAGTCTCTCAAATTCAAAGACTCGTACCAGATGGTCACTGGCACCACGTCTCATCAGGGGACAATCCAGCTGACATCGCCACTCGCGAACTGGACATTTCAGACTTCATCCAACGGGATAATTGGTGGAACTGTTCGGCCTTATGTCTCACTGACGTCACACCATGGCCCACATCCACCATCATTCCATCTCCTGATGCTGTCCTAGAAGAGAAAACCATTGTTGTTCATCAAACAATACCTACCATCAAGGAACCATGGGATCTTATTCAAAGATACTCTCAACTTCCCAAATTATCTTCGGTAACAGCATGGATTCTACGCTTTGTGACAAACGCTGCTGAGCGTAAGAGCATCAAGTTAAGCTCACGTGGAGCTCACGACATCGTGTCCCATTCAAGGAATGTGTCACCTCTAGAACTTGAAAACGCCAAACAATTTTGGATTCATCAAGTTCAGAAACAATACTTCCAACGAGAGATTGATCGACTTACCCACGATCCTCTCTGCAATATCAAGGGACCTCTCGCACGTCTTACACCATTCATCGACGATCATGGACTTCTACGGGTCGGAGGTCGTCTGAAACACTCGCTTCTCGATGCTGATGAAAAACAACCAGTCATTCTGCCACGAGAGTCGTTTTTCACCACATTGATTATTCGTTATTATCATGAAAAAACTCTTCACGGTGGCATCCAACTAACTCTTTGTCAAATCCGTCGCAAGTACTGGATTTTAAGAGGACGCAGCGCAGTGAAAACTATCATCTTTAAATGCCTTAAGTGTTGGAGACAGCGTAAAGCAACAGCTCAACAGCTGATGGGAAACTTACCTAAAAATCGCGTTACTCCATCAAGAGCTTTTCTCAACACTGGAGTTGACTACGCTGGACCAATCTGGTTAAAAACCACAAAAGGGCGTGGCCATAAAGCAAACAAAGGCTACATCTCAGTCTTCGTGTGTCTCGCCACACGAGCAATCCACCTCGAAGTTGTATCAGATTATACATCCGACGCGTTCATTGCAGCCTACAAAAGATTTACGGCAAGGCGCGGAATATGTGCTACCCTACGTAGCGACTGCGGTACTACACTCGTGGGAGCCGACGCAGAGTTGAGAAAACTTTTCGATTCAGCTCGACAAGAATCGCGACACATTGAGCATCTTCTCGCTCAAGACGGAACCCAGTGGATTTTTAACCCACCTGCCGCTCCACACTTTGGTGGGATTTGGGAGGCAGGCGTGAAGTCTACCAAGCACCATCTAAAGAGAACTATCGGTGAGTCGACCCTCACCTTTGAAGAGATGTCGACCTTGCTCGCACAAGTCGAAGCGTGTCTCAACTCACGGCCGCTTCAAGCCCTAACGGACGACCCTGACGACTTGTCAGTTCTAACCCCTGGACACTTCCTCATCGGAGGTCCTCCAGCTACAATTCCGGAGCCCTCTCTTGCTGACATCTCAGTCAATCGACTCTCCCGTTGGCAACTCATACGTCAACAGTACGAGCATTTCTGGCAGAGATGGTCTCACGAATATCTTCATGAATTCCAAACTCGCTCAAAATGGCAAACTCGTGAGCCACAAGTCAAAATTGGAGACTTGGCAGTGCTAAAAAATGAACTGCAACCACCTTCCAAGTGGGTTCTTGCCAGAATCATTGACGTTCATCCCGGTCAAGACGGAGTTGTTCGAGTCGTAACGTACGCACAGCCACTTCGACTTTCAAGCGCCCAATCGTCAAGCTCTGTCTGCTTCCAAGGACAGACGAAAAGGATGACATCGCCTGAAGTTACTTGTGCTTGCTATTAACTCAGTGTATTAGTGTGAAGTTACATTTTTTTTCAAATTTAATACATCGTGTTAGATGAAGGCGGGCGGAATGTTGAGAAATGACACATTTTCTTTTGTACACAGTATTTTTATTTTCTGTATTTGAGATCCAGTTTTGTTATCATATTTCGTTCACGGTCAAGTTGGATAGAAAATTGTAACAACAGTTGTTGACGTAGAGTGTGTGCGATTCAGCTTTCAATTTTATTTTCGTTTTGTTTGTTTTTGTTAATAAATTCCGCCGTAATTCATGTTAGTTTTTTGTCACTCACCTTTATTACAGTCCATTAAGCTTCCCTGACAATCGTAAATGGCGGAAGAATTAAATTTATCTTATTATTTAAATTTTGCTATAATTTTCCATCACCTTTACAAATCTCTCATCGCCCAGTTTACATTATTTCCAATCTTGTATCAGGAGAGCATAATGGGTGAAGAGATGTTTTTGCTCCTAATTCACGAAGTATCGGTTGCCAAACTCTTATAAAATTGTTCTGACTACCAAAAAGAAGATGATGGAAGTGAAGAGCCATTTCCATCACTATGAGAAATGCTTCTTCGCCCCATTTAGACTTTCAAAAATCTTTAATCAGGCGACGATAATGTAAGAAAAGGTGTTGCTGCTCCTAATACACAGAGTATCAGTGAGCAAACTCTTGTAATAAAATTCTACAAGACTACAAGAAAAGACGAGCAGAAACATTTCGCCCCACATTATACTCTCCTGATTTATAAAAGTTTAATTTACTGGCTACTAAGAGAACATGATGGACGTGGGGTGCCATTTCCACCAGCATGAGAATTTTTTCAATGTGCTATTGACACTTTTTCAAATCTTGTATCAGGAGAGTACAATGTGTGAAAAGGAGTTCCGGCTCCACGAAGTCTCAGTGGATAAACTCTTGTAAATAAATTAAGCTTCTCTTCTGGATACCAGGAGAACATGTCGTATGAGGATAATATAATTTGTAGGTAGGTATTTGTGCTCCTAATACACTGAATATCGGTTAGCAAACTCTTGTAAATTTTTCTGGATAACACTAGAATATTCTGAACGAGGAGGTCTTTTTCCACCATCACGAAAAATATTTCATCGCACTGGTTAAACTCACACTTTTACAAATCTTGTATCAGGTGAGTATAATGAGTGAAGAGGTGTTTCTGGTGCAAATTCACGAATTTCTGCATATCAGGAGAACATGAGAGTATAATGTGCGAGGAGGTTTTGTGCTCCTAATACATAGAATGTTGGTTTGCATACTCTTGTGAATTTTTTTGGATTCCAGGAGACCGTGATGGACGAGGACGTCTTTTTCCATCACCAAGGCAAATATTCCAACGCCCTATATAAACTTTTACAAATCGTGTATCAGGAGAATGTAATATGTGCAGAGATCATTCTACTCTTAATACCCAGGGTATAAGTAAGCAATTAAACTTCTTTTCTGGATACCAGAAGAACATGATGTACGAGAGGTCTATCTATAAGGAGAGTATGATGAGTAAGGAGGCGTTTCTGCTCCTAATACACGGAACATCGGTTAGAAAACTCTTGTAACCTTTTTCTGGATATCAGGAGAACATGATTGAAGGGTAGGGAAGTCTATCTAACAGGGGACTATACCGTGTCAGGAGGTGTTTTTGCCCCTAATTCGCGGAATATTGGTTAGCAAACTCTTGTGAAAATTTTTCTGGGTACCAGGAAACCAGGATGGACAAAGAAAAATATTTCATCAAGGTTCTTCTGTTTTTGAAATTCTGATACCTTAAGATCTGGGAACAAAATGGCGGCAATGTTCTTAATGAAATAGTTCTTTATTTTTTTAAACTTATGTTAACAAATCACTCTTGTAGACTAGATTAAAGCGTAAAGTGTCGTAACCTAAGGAGCGATCAGTAACTCTTCTTGTATACTGTGCGACTTAATTAGACTCTTTCCAAGCTTGTTGACTTGGGCCGAATGTGACTTTTCGCTGTGGTATTTCTCGGAGTATTCCTGCAAGAGGAAGTTTTAGTCAAGACCCGTAAGTCGTTAAATCGTACCCGTAATCTGTTGCCTAAGAACACCGCGCGTTCGCGTTTTTTGATCATCGAGTCTGTCGGCAGCAGCCAGCGATTCTCGTGGCACTCCTCCGCCGAGGGTCGCTTGCTGAAAATTGAGGTTTTAAAAGGGGGGGCGCGGTTCGTGCGGGTCTTACTTCGGGTGCCTTTTGAATATCAACATGACGAATCTGTTGCCTTCCTGCGAGAGCTCCTGGAAGAGGTACTCGAAGCGATAACGGACGAAGCTGATGTTTTGGCGCGTCTCGTGCTCGTCCTCGCCTTTGAAGGGCAAGGTGCCGGAGAGCATGACGTAGGTGAGTACGCCCACCGACCAAATGTCACTTTGGGGGAAGGCCAGCTCTTCGTTTAGAACTTCCGGTGCTGAGAACAAAAAACAGTTACTGCACGGGTTTCCAAGACGACGGACGTACAAATGTAATCGGGATGTCCGACGACAGGAACTTTGGTACCCAATTTGGTCACTCGATGCGCCGAACCCAGATCTACCAGCTTGATTTGGACCGAGCGCAGACCGCACATGACGACGTTGTCTGGTTGAAGGTCTAGATGGCAAAGGTTCCTCCAGTGCAGATATTGTAAACCGTCCAGTATCTACAACAGGAGAATACCTATGGAATATCATAGTATAACAAAGGAATACCAGGGAATATCAAACTTTTTTGATAGTTTCGGGTATTCTCTGACACTCCTTTGACGACATACTTTATGTACTCCTGATATGAGTTCACACGAAAACAGGGTGTTGAATTCGGTGCAGTTATACCTCTTTTCGCCTTCTATTCTTTTAATAGAAATGTTTAAACAAAAATAAGGCGTTGAAACATTTCTTGTGAGCTTGAAAAACGCTCTCCTTATAGATTATGTTTTTCTGGTAGAAAATTTACAACATTTTCCTAACAAAATCAATGTATTAGGCACAGAAGCATCTCCTCACACAAGATAGTTTCCTGATAAAACAGATCAAACAAAATAAAGTGTTGGAACGCTTATCTTGAACTTAGAAAATACTGTTTTCCTGACAGTCCGACAAAGTTTACATTTTTCTAAGAGATACTCAGTGAATTAGGAGCAAAAACACCTCCTCGCACACCTATTCTGCTAATACAAAACGAACGTAAGGTATGGAACTGTTTTATTGAGCACAGAGAAGGATGTCATCGTGGATTCTGTTCTCCTGGTAACCAGTGAAAATTTAGGTCATTTTTCTGACAGATCAGTGATTTAGGAGCAGAAACACTCCCTCGCACAACATTTTCTCCTGATACAAAGATTTAACCGAAATAAAGTGTTGAAACAGTTTCAGAAAATGACCTCCTCATGGATTATGTTCTTCTGCTAGAAACTTTAACATTTTCCAATTACAGTTTCAATGTATTAGGAACAAAAGCATCTCCTCGCACACGATATTTTCCTGATACAACACAAATAAAGTGTTGCAACGTTTCTCTTGAGCTAGACGTTCTCATAGATTATGTTTTTCTGACAGTCCGACAAAGTTTACATTTTTGTAAAAGATACTCAGTGAATTAGAAACAAAAACACGTCCTCGCACATCATATGCTCCTAATACAAAACGCACGTAAGGTATGGAACAGTTTTATTGAGCACAGAGAAGGATGTCATCGTGGATTATGTTCTCCTGGTAACCAGTGAAAATTTAGAACATTTTTGTGACAGATAACCAGTGTTTAGGAGCAGGAACACTCACTCGCACAACATTTTCTCCTGATACAAAGGTTTAAACGGAAATAAGCTGTTGGAACAGTTTTCTTAAGCAGAGAAAGACACCTCTTCATTGAGTTCATTGGTATAGTCAGAGAAAATGTATATTTTCCTAATAGATACTCAGTTTGTTAGAAATAGAAACACCTCTACTCACAACATATTCTCTTCAGCTTAAAAAAGATTCTGTTTTCCTGACCACAGATAAAATTCCACCAATTTTGTAACAAGTACTGAGTGAATTAGGTCTCTTTGCGCCTTCTATTCTCTTGATAGTGAAATGAAAATAATGTGTTTAAACATTTCTTTTAAGTTTAGAAAACTACCTCTTCACGGATTATGTTCTTCTGATAGAAACTTTACATTTTCAAAAAAAACTCACTGTATTCGGAACAGAAGCATCTCTTCACACAAGATATTTTCCTGATACAACAGTTTAAACAAAAATAAAGTGTTGGGACGTTTTTCTCGAACTTAGAAAAACGCGTTCTCATAGATTATGTTTTCCTGGCAGCCCGACAAAGTTTACAACGTTTTTCGTAAGAGATACTCAGTTATTTAACAGAAACACCTGTTCTCACTACATATTCTCCTGATACTAAGGTTTAGATGACTGTTTTTCTGGAGATAGGAAACCTTCTCATGGTTCAAGTTTTGTTGCTACCCACAGAAATTTTGCAACAGACATTAAGTGAATTTTGAGCCGAAACACCTCCTCCCAAGACATTTTCCTGGCACAACAATTAAAACAGAAATTATGTGTTTAAACTTTTCTCTTGAGCCTAGTAAAATACGTCCTATGCTTTCTTGGTGGGCAGAAAAAGCTTCCTAATAGATCAGGAGGAAACTTTCTTTGGTCACCAGGAAAACATGATCTAGTAGTACGTATTTTTGTAAGCTCAAGAGAAAAGTTTCAACCCACTTTTTTTGTTTAGGTTGTACCAGGAAAATGTCGCGAGAGAAGGTGTTTCTGCTCCTAATCACTCACTGTTTGTTAGGAAAATGTTGCAGAATTTTCTCTGCCTAACAGGAAAACATGAACTCTGGAAAGCACTAGAAAACCATTCCAATACCATACCTTATTTTCATTTAAACCTTTGTATTAGGAGAATATGTTGTGAGAAGATGTTTCTAACTTACGGAGTATCTATTACGAAAACAAAGAGAGCATGATCAATGAGGAGGTCTCCTTCCGTGCTAATCGGTTAGTGAATTAAGAGCAGAAATGGCCCCTCGCATAATATATTCTCCTGATATTGAAGTTGCAACGAACATTAAGCGTCGGAACGCTTCTCTAGAGTTTAGATCAAGACCTCTTCATAGATTATGTTCTCCTGTTAGACACAAAACATTTATCATATTTTCGTAAGTGATGCTCTGTGTCGGCCACTAATATTTTCCTGGTACAGAAGTTTAAATGAAAATAAGATGATGGAACGTTTCTTTTGAGCTCATAAAACTACTTCCTCATTGATGATATTCTCCTGGTAATCTGCGAAAATTTGCAAAATTCATTCAGTGAGTTACGAACAGAAACACCGCCTCGCACAACATATTCTCCAGATACAAATAGCGAAAATAAAGTGTTTGAACGATTGTCGTGAGCATAGAATGATGTAACCTCCTCATACAGTATGTTTTCCTGGTGGCCAGAGAGAATTTGGATCAGATTCACTCCATAGCACGCTATACTCTCCTGATGCGAAAGTATACGCCAATATAAAGTGTTTCGTGAGCATTCTCATGAATTATGCGCTCCTGGTGGTCGGAATACAGAATTTCTACGAGTTAGCAGCTGAAACATCTCTTCACATATTCTCCTGATGCAAGGGGTTAAACAAAAATAAAGTGTTGCAACATTTCGGGAGAGTGGGAAAACCTTCCTCCAGGATTCTGTTCTCTTGGTAGCCCGAAAAAATTCAATTAGAAGTAGAAGTACTTGCTCCTACACTGTATTATACAGCTGATATAGGTAATATTTCCTTTGAGCAAGGATCATGTTCTCCTGATAGCCAGAGAAACTTGAGATTTTTCTAACAGATTCTCCATGTACTGAGAACAGAAACACTTTCTCGTACATCCTGGTAATAAAGTATAGAATAAAACCTCTTCATAGATTATGTTGTCCTGAACAATGTTTCTCTAATAGAAATAAATACATCCCATATTATATTCTCCTAATCCAACAATTAAACGAAAATTAAGTGGTGGTGTCCGTGCCAAGTGCAGAATGAAGCGAGTTGAAGAACGTTGTTACAAGATAAGAGAATGCTAGAGAACATAAAATAATTAAGCATGAGACATCTATCTGGACCGATAAAGGGTTCGAATAATCACACGATTTACATGATTTCACAAGGAGCCAATCTCAAGTATTGTTTGTGTTCTGTGGTATTTACTGTTATTCCGTTGATGTTCTTCGACATTTTTCCAATACGTATTTTGACATTCTCTGGTAGTGCCTAAAAAATAAGAAGAATATTCGTGGAATATCAGAAAATACGAGGGAAATTCCAATGGGAGGCTTTCATTTTTCATGTATGCCTGTTTTCTTATGGTTCTTTGAAAAGATATTGAGAGGGAATACCCAAGGTATTACCTCAACCTTGGCAAGAGATCAAAAAATTTTAATATTTACCTGGCTAACGATCGTAGCGACCGTTTGCTCCGTATACTCGTGCTTGCTGGCCAAGTACGTCAGCACATCGGCGCCCTGCAGCTTCTCCAATATGAACGTCGCCTCGTTGCTCGACCTGTACGCCGCCAAAAGTCCGGCGATCCTTTCGTGCCTTAGCGATCGCAGCGCCGCGAACTCTCCGTCGATGTTATCCGAACTGTCGAGGCCGAGATCGAAGTACTTCGCGACCACGACGCGATCGTTCTTCTTGTCGATCGCCTTGAGCACCGCCGAAAATTTACCCCTCGCTATCTCCGAGATGACCTCGTAGTGGTCGGAGGCGCTGCCGCTCGTCCAGTCGACCGGCGCCGTTTCCAGGTTGTAATCCGGCCGCGGCTCGCCCTCCTCCTCGACGGCCTGCCCGCTGTCGGTGATCTGCTGCAGGTGTTGCATGGCGGTCGTCAGACGGATTTTGGACGCCCCAACTCTAGAGGTGGAGATGCCGGCGGAGGCGACGCCCTGATCGCTCCAGCCGATCGCGTTCTTCGCCGCGAGTCTAAACATGTACCTGGTGTCCTGCTCCAGGCCGCTCATCAGGTAAAACTCGTGATCGATATTGTCGGCCTTCTTAGTCCACTCGGCGTCGTCGGCGAGTTTGTACTCCAAGCTGTAGCAGAGCACGTGCGAGTTTCCGTCGGACTTTGGCGGTTTCCACGTGAGCAGTATCTCGCTGTCGGATATCTGGGTCGCTTCGGGCGAGTCCGGCGCGTCGGGGACCGTTCCGTAGACAATTCGGGTGCGGGCGATGGTCTGCCCGACCTTGTTTCTTGCCACGATTCTGTACATGCCCAAATCGAAACCGAGAGCGGGGGAGAGTTTGAAGTGCGTGCGATTCTCACTGTCGGTTTCGATTTTGACTCGGGCCGATTCGACCACGATCGCGTCGTTTTTAAACCATTGGACTGAGGGTTTGGGGTCGCCAACTACAAGGCACGTCATTTCCAAGTCTTTTCCTTCGACCATCGCGGTTACTTGGGGTTTTTCTCTGAAGAAGGGAAGGCGACCCTCTTGTTTGCTTTCGATCATCGCCTCTGCTTCCGCGTACGTGTCGAGGCGTGGGCCTAAGGGGGAGAGAAGTGAGAACCGAACGGGAGTACTGGACCTTACCTAGCTCGTGGCGCAACCGCCTGATAGTGTACGCGCTACTGTCGACACCGTAGCGGTTTATTCGCTCTTTGCGCTCATCGTCGATTTCCTCGTCCATTACGTCCATGAAACGGCGCCTTTCGCGTACCGAGGGCGCGTCCCATTCGAAACCGTTCTCGTTCGATATAATTCGGCTTCGGCCCGGTCCACGATTTGCAGCGATCTTCATGTATTCGCGCACTCGGACTGGAAAGTCGACGTCTCGGAGCTGAAGCAGGTAGGTGTCGGGACCATTTTGATAGCTGAAACGTGATGTTAATGACTCATCTCGTCTCTCTACCGACAATCGAGAATCTCTTAAAGTTCTTTTGGCAATTGCAACGGGAACCCCCGCTAATACATTTAAATTTTCTCAATTTTTGGGGCTCGCGGTTGGTTAAAAGGCGTTACGAAGCCTTGCGGTTTGAGACGAGCCGTCAAATTTCGTTGGGGCCTTTTCGGTTTTTAAGTCCACCAGTAAGGGAAAGAAAAAAAATAAAAATATATAACTTACATGGCGAAAGAGTAAAGTTAGTTTGAATGCAGACGATATAAATCGATAGTTCATTGACCGAACAATTACGCAAGGTAATTTTTCCAATTATAGAATGTTTCAGAAGATTTCCTTTGAAGATCTATACTATCAGCTTGGCGGAAACAGTCGCAGATAACAAAGAAAGCGACGACTTCGTAAAAAGTGCGAAAACTAGAAAAACCCAGATCCCAAAAATCAGCCGAGGTAACCAAAGCAGACTAAGAAATCTTAGAAACTCGAAGCTGAGCAAGCCTATGAAGAACAAGGACAACAAATGAATCAAGGGAGCATAGAAAAGCGAAGGAATCGAGCAAACTTGAAATCTCTCGGGCTCCGAAAAAGTTGAAAACTTGAACACATCGAAGAAGGCCACGAAGGAATTCGTAAGATTTGAAAAACATGAAAAACGAAGATCAACCGAGGCAACCAAACTAGACTAAGTAATCTGAACGAGCCTAGGAAGAACATGCAAAGCAAGTACAACACGGGGAAGCCTAGGGAAAAAATGAAAACATTCCAAGGAGCGCAGAAAGCTGATTAAATCTAAGAGGTTGATAAAATCAAGGAAGGTGATGAAAAATTCGATCCCACATTCTTTTAAAGGTTGCAGCGGGAGTCCGCTAGAACGTTCGAACTTTGTATATAGGTAAAATATCATATGTACCGCTTCATAAGAATAGTAGGTTCAATGTCTACATCCAATCCGCCGCTAAAAATGAGTGGCCTTTGCCATAGTACTAGCGTGTCGTGAAAATGGCGTCGGCTCCTTTTCGGTTTTTCCCGGCAACTACAGATTAGATAAAAACAAGAAGTTAGATTAGTTGATTCTGATTTCAGAACGGTCGGGGACGCACCTTGACATCAGGAAAGCTGAAGCGGTGTGAACCCAGCAAAGGCTGAACGTAAAGCGAATTCATCTACATATTTCGGACAATTTTCCACTGCTGTCAACTTCGTATACCACGAATACGAACATCGACCTAGGGGAATCCTGAATCCAGGCGATTTCTAGGGGAATCGATGCGATTAATTAGAGGTGCCGTGAACTATGCGAGGTTTTTCAAACCGTCTAGTAATGCGAAATTACTGGCTTTCGCATTTGATCAACCCAATCTCGCAATTGAGAGGGCTGCGGCTGGGTAGCTGATCCTCCCACGTGCGATAGGTCGGGATCGGTTTGGAGATCGACGCTGGTGTATAGGGAGGGGTGTAGATGTCTCCGGGTGGATACACCATGCGCGATAATTTTATGTTACGCATTCACATCATTACAAACAATTAATGTTACTACACAATTTAATATTAATTTGACTGCTGGTTTTTTTATTGGTAAGTTCTTTTTTCCCCATCCTATTTCTATTTTGATTCGGTGAACTACCATTTTCAAAGCTTATTTTTGCAATGTAATTTATTTTGGACTTAAATTTCCGAGCTTTTACAAACAATAATAATTGTGATCATTATTAATCACACTTTTCACAATTTCAGTGTTTTATTTTACGTTCCTTCCCTACTGTGCTTCAGGTCATAGCGTTGTCTACAACTAACGTAAGGGGACCCTGCCTTAGATGTTTGATCACGTGCCACTTTTAAAGTTTAAGCGGGTTCTTGTTTAGTTTTGGAGGGAATAGGCCATTTTTAAACGTTGCCGGGTTGACTTTATTTCCGTGTTCTTGTAGTGTGAAGTTAGCGTAGATCCTGGGGGTTAAATACACTACAGCTGTATTAACAATAGGTACGGTAAATAATAAATCACATGGCGAAAGCGTAAAGTTAGTTTGAATGCAGACGATATAAATCGATAGTTCATTGACCGAACAATTACGCAAGGTAATCGTACAAGAAAACTTGTGATGTTGAACCCGTACAGATAGGCAACACATCTTACTACTAAAGGAATTTTAAAATCCCGTTCTGCGCAGACGTCAATTTAGTACAGGAAGCTAGAGAGTGGCGTCGGCGGGAGCACTGGTGGTCCAGTTTTTGATGGTGGAGTACCGGTTGTGTGTGCCTTTCATAGTTTAGTGTTTGATATATTTTTTTCCAAGCGATATCAAGGTAGTACACGTTTTATTTGAGCTATTTTAAATTCAATGTTTAAATTTCATACCTTATTCAGTTTCGTTTTTAACTTTGCTTTAGATTTGACCTGTGCTGATTGCAGGCATGGCGTGGGCCGCTATTGTTTGAGTTCATACCGTTAAATGAGTAATGTTTTAGCTTGGATCCCTTGTGCACCTGATTATGCCGCGATGTTTTTCATGATTATTTGAATGTGTTTACGCGGGAGTAGATTACCAGAATGTTACTGCTCTGAATGTTTGGATTAATAATTTATTTTCGTGGAAGAGAAGAACCTCATGCAGTTCGCCCTGTCGCTGTATATGTTTCTTTTTTTCATTTCGCGCAGGCTGCAGGTCTTAGCGTCTCGCATTGCGAGAAAGGGGGACCCTTAAAGTCACTAAATATAGAAAGTACCGCAATCATCCGCCATTTTTGGGCAAATTTGCTGCCAACTTAAAAAAAATTGACAAAGAAAATCTGAATAGCTGTAATTTTTTATAAAGCCCGCTTGACATGGAGCAATAAAAATTGCAATTGCATGCAAGTTGCAAGAAAAATTGCGAAAGGCATGCGCAGTTCAAAGCCAGTTGATCAATTGCTGCAAGAGACTTGCATGCAGCATGCAATTTTTATAGGACCGGTGCTATTTTTCTTGCATGAATCGCGCAATTCTAGGGATAAATCTAGTTGGTTTTGTGTCACCAACCTAGTAAAACACAGCGGCGGCAACTATGATGCTTAGAGACGCACTCATTACTTGTTTTTATTAATCTTATTTATTCTTGTAATTTTCATGTTTCTTCAATCAGTCAAAATTTCATTTTTATTTGAGGTTAGCAACTTTCTTGACAAATTCATATTTTTCTTCTGTTGGCAGACATGTGGCAATTGAAATAGAATTGCACCATGTCAAATGCCATGCAATTCTTATTGCATGCAAGGATTTGACCTTGCAATTTCTTTCTGCAAGTTCTTGCGCGTTGTATTGCTCCATGTCAAGCGGCCTTAACCTAACTTCATAGTACTGTCATGTTTTATAAAAATATATACAGATATCTCTAAACAGGTGGAACAATCCCTAACATTAAAGTTACTAGAATCTGGTAACTTCCGCCATTTTTTGGCAAAAATCATGCGTTCTCTCTCTAACACACGAGCCCAATGGATTGCGGTACTTTCTATATTTAGTGACTAGGGCCCTCTAATATTAATTTCTTTTCTGTTTAAAATGTGGATTTGTATGTGAAGTGGTCTGCAACAACACGGGGGCATATAAAACCTAGGAAGTCGAGGGTTCTGGGAAACTCGATTTAATCGAGTTGATATAGTTGTTGGAGCAGAAAAAAATCGAAGGAATCAAAGAAACGTCCTCTCAAATTGAGAGCCAAAGAAGGCGAGGATATCCTAAGAAGCCAAGGGACAAAATGAAAACATTCCAAGGAGCGGAGAAAGCTGATGAAATCGAAGAGGTTGGTTGATAAAAGCAAAATGATCTTGAAAAAATTGGATCCCACATTTTTTTAAACGTTGTGCTGAAATATTCGAATTTTGTATATGTATAGGTAAAATATCATATGTACCGCTTCATAAGAATAATAGGTTGAACCAATCCGCCGCTAAAAATAAGGGGCCTTTGCAATAGTACAAGCGTGCCGTGAAAATTGCGTCGGTTCCTTTTCAGTTATTCCCGATTAGATCAAAACAGGAAATTAAGATTGGTGATTCTGGTTCCAGAACGGTTGGAGGATTCGTTGCAGAAGGTTAGAATTTCAAACCGTGAACGCATGGTTTAATTCGCATTGGAAAGTACGTGACATTGTTCTCGGGTTTTCAGGGGAGCGGAATCTGAGTGGTTTCCTCACGCAGACTTGAATGGCAGCAAATACTACTAAAAATAGCACGAAATAAAAAATATTCTACGTGGACACTACATGTTTCAAACGCGTCGTAGTTCATGAACTCTTCCCCCTATGTAATTAAATCATTATCAACCAAGACGCAACTTGACATCAGGAAAGCTGAAGCGGTTTGAATCCAGCAAGCGCTGAACGTAAGGCAAATTCATCTACATATTTTGGACAATTGTCCACTGCTGTCAACTTCGTATACCACGAATACGAACTTCGACCTAGGGGAATCCTGAATCCAGGCGGTTTCTAGGGGAATCGATGCGATTAATTAGAGGTGCCGTGAATTAGATATTTCATTTCTAAACTATGCGAGGTTTTTCAAAACGTCCCGTAATGCGAATTTCTATTTTGATTCGGTGAACTACCATTTTCAAAGTTTATTTTTGCAATGTAATTTATTTTGGACTTAAATTTCCGAGCTTTTACAAACAATAATAATTGTGATCATTATTAATCACACTTTTCACAATTTCAGTGTTTTATTTTACGTTCCTTCCCTACTGTGCTTCAGGTCATAGCGTTGTCTACAACTAACGTAAGGGGACCCTGCCTTAGATGTTTGATCACGTGCCACTTTTAAAGTTTAAGCGGGTTCTTGTTTAGTTTTGGAGGGAATAGGCCATTTTTAAACGTTGCCGGGTTGACTTTATTTCCGTGTTCTTGTAGTGTGAAGTTAGCGTAGATCCTGGGGGTTAAATACACTACAGCTGTATTAACAATAGGTACGGTAAATAATAAATCACATGGCGAAAGCGTAAAGTTAGTTTGAATGCAGACGATATAAATCGATAGTTCATTGACCGAACAATTACGCAAGGTAATCGTACAAGAAAACTTGTGATGTTGAACCCGTACAGATAGGCAACACATCTTACTACTAAAGGAATTTTAAAATCCCGTTCTGCGCAGACGTCAATTTAGTACAGGAAGCTAGAGAGTGGCGTCGGCGGGAGCACTGGTGGTCCAGTTTTTGATGGTGGAGTACCGGTTGTGTGTGCCTTTCATAGTTTAGTGTTTGATATATTTTTTTCCAAGCGATATCAAGGTAGTACACGTTTTATTTGAGCTATTTTAAATTCAATGTTTAAATTTCATACCTTATTCAGTTTCGTTTTTAACTTTGCTTTAGATTTGACCTGTGCTGATTGCAGGCATGGCGTGGGCCGCTATTGTTTGAGTTCATACCGTTAAATGAGTAATGTTTTAGCTTGGATCCCTTGTGCACCTGATTATGCCGCGATGTTTTTCATGATTATTTGAATGTGTTTACGCGGGAGTAGATTACCAGAATGTTACTGCTCTGAATGTTTGGATTAATAATTTATTTTCGTGGAAGAGAAGAACCTCATGCAGTTCGCCCTGTCGCTGTATATGTTTCTTTTTTTCATCTCGCGCAGGCTGCAGTTCTTAGCGTCTCGCATTGCGAGAAAGGGGGGCCCTCTGATTAATTTCTTTTTTGTTTAAAATGTGCGTTTGTATGTGAAGTGGTCTGCAACAACACGGGGGCAAGCTAGGAAGTCGAGAAACTTTGAAATCTCAATGTTTCTGGGAATTTCATCGAGTTGATATAGTTGTTGGAGCAGAAAAAAATTGAAGGAATCAAAGAAAAGCCCTCTCAAATTGAGAGCCAAAGAAGGCGAGGATATCCTAAGAAGCCTCGGGATAAATAATCATATGTACCGCTTCATAAGAATAATAGGTTCAACCAATCCGCCGCTAAAAATAAGTGGCCTTTGCGATAGTACAAGCGTGTCGTAAAAATTGCGTCGGTTCCTTTTCGGTTTTTTCCGGCAGCTACAGATTAGATAAAAACAAGAAGTTAGATTGATTGATTCTGGTTCCAAAACAGTCGGGGTATTTGTTGCATTATCAGAATTTCAAACCGTAAACACATGGTTTAATTCGCATTGAAAAATACGTAAAATTGTACTCGGGTTTTCAGGAGAGCGACATCTGAGTGGTTTTTTTTCCGCAGACTTGAATGGCAGCAAATACTACTAAAAATAGCACGAAATAAAAAATATTCTACGTGGACACTACATGTTTCGAACGCGTCGTAGTTCATGAACTCGTGCCCCTAAGTAATTAAATCATTATCAACCAAGACGCACCTTGACATCAGGAAAGCTGAAGCGGTGTGAATTCAGCAAGGAAGTCTCTTTAATCTGGGCGGAATTCATCTACATATTTCGGACAATTGTCCGCTACTGTCAACTTCGTATACCACGAATACGAACATCGACATAGGGGAATCCTGAATCCAGGCGATTTTTAGGGGAATCGATGCGATTAATTAGAGGTGCCTCGAATTAGATATCTTAAGGGCATCGTAATAATTTCATTTCTAAACTATGCGAGGCTTTTCAAAACGTCCCGTAATGCGAAAGCCGCGAGACTTACTGGCTTTCGGATTTGATCAACCCAATCTCGTAATTGAGAGGGCTGCGGCTCGGTAGCTGATCCTCCCACGTGCGATAGGTCGGGATCGGTTTGGAGGTCGGCGCTGGTGTAGAGGGAGGAGTGTAGATGTCTCCGGGCGGGTACACCATGCGCGAGGGGTGCGTGAAGGCGCCCTCCAAAGGCCGACGTCTGAACCATCTTCTACACGACGCGTTGTCGTACCACTCCTTGTAGAGGAGGTAGTAGTCGTGCAGGTATTTCGAGCTGATGCGGTACTCGTCCTCAATTCGCCGATCCGCTCGTTCCAGCCAAGGATGCTTTAAGGCGCTGTGCACGTCCATTCGACCGTCGGAATGGTAAATCAGCAGCTTCGTGATGAAATCCCTCGCCTCCACGCTGATGTTCTGCCACCAAGACATGTCAAACTGCCAGTTGCCTGAAACACAAGGTCATTGCGTGCAACTAAGGCGATTTAGTTACCATCTCTTATTTTAGTAAGGGTCTCTCTGTCGTCCTTCCCCAAGAATGGCGACCGCCCAGAGAGCAAAATGTAAGTTATGATTCCGACGCTCCACATGTCTTGCCCGAAACCGGTACCCTCCCCGCGGACGGCTTCCGGGCTGACGTACTCGGGCATGCCGTAAAGGAGCGGGTAGAGGTTGCCTTGTTGAATTCGGCGAGCGAGGCCGAAGTCGGTAATTTTTAAATCGCTGCCGCCGATGTGAGAAAGCAGCAAGTCCCCGATCTAAAAGAAACGTCGGGATAAATCCACCACCTGGCGCTACTCACGTTTAATCCCATGTGACCGTATCCGCGTCTGTGCATGTACTCCAAGCCCTCGAGCATCTGCCTGACGTACCACGCGATGTCGCGCTCGGTGTAATAATCGCGCTTCAGCAGGTAATCCCTAACCAGCTCGCCTCCCCCTCCGAGTTCGAGCAGGAGGGCGACCCCGTCGTCGGACTCGTACGCGTCGTGCATTGAAATGAGCCGGCGATGACGTAGCTGATTGTACATGTCGAACTCGTTCAGCATAAACGGACGGACGTTGCCGCTTCCGTGCATCACCTTCGCCGCGTAGTTGTTGCCTGAAATGGTCACCTGTTACGTGGCGTCCACGCTAGGACTTGCTCACCAGTGCTACGATCGACCGCGTGGTAAGTGATTCCCTGCGTTCCCCTACCAAGCTCGTCGCCTAGGTCGTACAGCTCGTTGAACAGCTTCCTCTTGCACCTAATCGGCGAGGTCGGCTCGTACGTGTGCAGCTTGTGATCGTAATCGCTCTCGTCGACGTAGAGCATGGCGCTGTTGGAGACGGTTCCCGCGAAATTTCGCGCGCTCACCGAGTACAAACCCTCGTCCTTGAGAATGACATCGTTGATCGTCAGAATCCACAAGTCGGGCTCGACGAATCTGATCTTAACACGGCTGGACTCGGCGAGCGGTTTCCAGTCCTTGTACCACTTGACCTCCGGGTAGGGTTTCCCGATGATGCGGGCCTCGAAGCGCGCCTGTCTCCTGAGCAGGGTGTACTGAATGTCGGGTCGTGTGATGAAGACCGGCAGCTCGGCGATTTCCAGTCGGACACGTTGACGCGCCTGACCGTGCTCGTTTGTCGCGACCGCCTCGTACCAACCGACGTCGCGCTCCAGCATCTTGTTAATGAAGAGCGTCGCCTGTCCGTTGCGCGTGTAGCTCATGTCGAACCTTCCGCCGCTTTCGATCGGCTCGTCCTCGAAGAAGTACTCCATCTTCGGTTTCGGGTAGCCGTACACGTACCAGAAGAGGTTCGTGTTGTGGTTCTTGTAGCCGTACTGCGTCGGGTGCTCTTGGCGTAGGAAGCGCGGCGCTTGCGACATGTTGTCGTGCGACGGTCGCTCGATGTCGAAGTCGTGAGGGAAGTACGGGGAGGTGTCCGGATGGAAGGGCGTTCCGTGCGGCAAGTACGAGCTTATCTTCGGGAGGTCCGGTTCGATGCGTTCGCGGTGCGTCGTCGCGTAGGGCGACGGATCGCTCACGCCGTACTTGTTCTCGACGCGGACGCGGAATTTGTAGTCGCGATACGGCTCGAGATTGCGCACCGTGCAGACGCAGTTGCGGATACCGGAACGCGCCGTGAACCAGTCGCCTTGCGGTTGCTCGCTCATCTCCAAGATGTAGGTGGGCGGCACGTGGGGGTAGGCCGGGATTGAGGGTTTCCACGAGAGCGTGCAGTGGCGGTCGGTCATGCGGGATATGATCGGCGGGTCCGAGAGCGGTACCGGAATTCCTCCTTTCTTGAACTTGTCGTACTCGACGTATTCGTCGCCGATTGGCCGTTTGGGTTTGGCATCGAGATCTGGAAACCCGCCATAGTTGTTAGACAAACTATTACGGTAAATACGAACAATAGCGGACTTACCATCTAGTTGTAAATGTGCGTGGCAAATATCGGAACCGTGCTCGTTGGAGATCTTGCACGAGTACCTCCCGAGATCCTCCTCCTTAATTCCCTCAATGGTCAGCCGAAGCAGGCCTGCTCTGTCGACCTCCATCTTAACGCGCGAAGACGGGGAGAGCTTCTGGTCGTTTTTGAACCACTCCACCGTCGGCTCTGGGAATCCGCTAGCGCACGCCGTAAACTTGGCGGTCATGCCTCGGTACAACTCCAGGTCGCCGATTCGTTTCAGGAACGACGGAGGTTCCACCTTTACCGCGGTTTTTCTACGACGTGAAATTAGTGCTCGCCTTGTCACGGGGTTACTTACATTTCGTCGACGACATCGAAGTTCGCCTCGCACGTATCCGAGCCCTCCTTGTTTACGGCAAACGCACGATACAAACCGGAATCGCCCAGCGCGCAATCGTCAATATACAAGGTGACCAAGTCGCCCTCCCTCTTCATGCGGTACTTTTCCGAGGGGAAGATCTGGTGGCCATCCTTGAACCAGGTGATTTCCGGCGAAGGTATTCCTGAAACCCTCCCCAGTAGTTTACCGTCCCGTCCGGGTATCTGCACATAGTAAATTAGCCGGAGACGATCGACCCTCTCTAATTACCTGCTGCAAATCTCCGAAAGTTTGAGTGAATCGTGGCGGTGTGAACACCTTGTGCACTCCAGCGGTACCTTCCGAGGTATCCGACCCCAAGGCATTTGTGAGGGTAACGCTGTAGACACCTGCGTCGGCCGGTGTTGCGTTATCGACATGCAGCGCCACCTTTTTCCCATCGCAAGTAAGTAGAACCCGCTCCGATGCCTCTAGGGGCTTACCATCCTTGGTCCATTGGACGTGAGGCACAGGGTTCGCTGTAAACGGCACTTCCATTACCAACGGTTGTCCTTCGTGCGCGAACGCGTCCCGAAGGGGATGCAAGAGCGCGGGTGCCTCCTCTGGAACTCCTTCCTTAGTTGCAGGAGTCACTCCCAAAATCGCGGACGACTCGGCTTGACCCACGTCATTAGTGGCGATTGCTTTGTAAGCCATCTTATCCCTGAGTATATCGCAGGCGTCAATATAGAGGGCGCTGCCACCATCAGGTTGCTCGACAATTTTAATGTGTTTATTATCGCTGACCACCTCCACGTCATTGCGACACCTGCACGATAATCATCAGCCTAACCGATGAATTCAAAGCCACTTACCAAGTAATTGATGGTGGTGGGAACCCGACGGCCTTCACTTCGAATTTGGCGGGAAAACCTTCGACGACAGTCATCGGTTCCATGCGCACGATGAATTCGGGTTTCGCGACCTTCTTCTCGATCTCCACCTGCGCGTGGTTCTCGCTCTCGCCCAGACGATTGCTCGCCAGCAGCGTGTACGTGCCGGCGCTTTCCGGTTTTACGCTGTCGACCGATAGGGCGACCGATCCGTCCGGTAGTTGCTCCAGGTGGATGTTCGACGAAGGACGTACGGGTGCGCCGTCCTTCATCCACTTAATTTCGGGCGGCGGATACGCGACGACCTTCGCCTCGAGACGTAGCGGCTCGCCCGCCGTTACTTTCGCGTCCTTGAAGCACTTGAGGAATTTCGGCCGTTGGGGTTTCGCTGAAAGTGACGAATGAGAGTGGGGGTGAAAAGCTGCGAGTGGGTACTTACGGTTGACCGCTACGGCGCAAAGCGCCGAGATTTCGCCGTTCGGATTTTTCACGACGAGCTTGTAGGCGCCGCTGTCCGACGGTTTGGCCGATTCGATGTTGAGCTTGGCGGTGCCGTCGGGAAGGAGGGTCGTTTTTATTCTGGAATCCTCCGGTGAAATCGGTTCCCCATCTTTCAACCACGAAACCTATTGGTTAAATAACCGTTTAAGTAATTAGGACTTTAGAGAACCGCGCAGTAGTATCCGGATATCAATGTAACGTCACAATCACAATGGCACATAGTGACCTCCGGAATCAAGATGGCCACTAAAATACAATGGCGGCCAAAGATTTCGGAAACATGATGACGTAACACATATCCAAAATTAGATGTACGATTTGCGTTTCTGTAGTCCTGATACAACCAAATAAAAACAAGTATAAATTGTGCACAACTCTTGGGCAGATAAAGCGCATTTTTTTTGACATCACCAATGGATACATTTCTTGCAGACGTCTCAATCGCCCTTTGTGAGTACCCTCTTACGACAATTCGTTCTTGAGATATAAGGGAATATATCCGATCACGATATGAGGTCGAGGAGGAGGGCTATGGTTGGTAGAAATTAATTCCTTTCGTTGAGACCTTTCATTAGAGTACCATGAAGGATAAAAGTAGTTCCACCCCCCCCCCCCCCACCCGTACTTTGATAAGAGGACAGAAAGAAGGGCAGTAGTTGGTAGAAAACGGTTCCTTTCGTTGAGACCTTTAATTAGAATATAATGAGAGATAAAATGTGTTTCAAATGTGTTTCCCCCCCCCCCCCCCATTTCCTAAAGCTCAAGTTTAACTTAGCAAAATCTGAGACCAATTGGTTGTCGTATGTAAAAGTTATGCACGATTTACTTTCAAAAACAGCATCTCAGGAAATAACTCGTGGGGGGGGGGGGCTCCCTTTTAGACAGCGAAATTTTATGGCCGTCTGGCACATCTTCAAGGTATAGGCTACCTACTACAAAAAATTCCAGAAGTCTGGGACTATTCCCCTAGAAGTAGTTCAAAACGGTAAAAGTGGGTCCGGACGGACGGACGGACAAAACGCAAACAATACCATTCTTAAAAATGCGCTAAAAATTGTATTAGGAGAACAGGAGCCTAAGTGTCATCCTCTTGGGATACTGTAATCCTGATACAATTTTAATTTTTAACTTTTGACCAGAAACTATCACCTCCTTACGGTTTGAGATTCTGATTTTGGGGAAGTTTGTATCAGGAGAACATAATATGACACTACCGCCCTTTCGTCCTGATGGAATTTTTAGGAAAGAAAATAATAATAAGCATAATGGTTCAAAAGGATCCAGAAACGACCAAGTGTAAACAAAAGTTTGTATCAGGAACATATAAGATTAAATCGGAAGGACACATTTCGTAAGAAGGTGTTAACCTCTTGTGTTTCTGATCCTAATACCACAAACTTCAGAAGAACGTAATATTGCATTTGTGTTTCTGTAATTCTGATACTAACTTTGTGAAAAACTAGTATCAGGAGAGCATAACTTTTACCTTTTAGAGACATTTTATCAGAAGACACGAGAATTTAAAAAACTTTTTCAGTAAATCTTCATCACTAAGACGTGCCTGTGATCCTGATACAACAATTTTGGAATTATTTGTATCAGGATATCATACTGATTAAGAAATTGTCACCTCGTTTTTAGTTCTGTGATCCGCATACCAGATTACATAATAGGTTGTATGAGAAAAACATAACACTTAAGAAGGTGTCATCATTGTGTTTCTATAACTTTGAATTGGTATCAGGAGAGCATACTTGTCGCGTTTCTGTGACTTTAAGGAGAAAAAACATACTACTTAAGTGTTTGTGCGAAGAAGTTCTTGTCAGTGAGTTTTTATACAGTTGAGTTTATGTGAGCCTGATACAACAATCTTTAAGAGGATACCATAATCGCTAAAAAAATTATCGCCCTGCCTATGGTTCTGTAATCTACAGCATAAGGAGGTGTTTTGTGATTCTGGTATGAGCAGTTTTAATAAAAAATGTGTGTCAGGAGAACATAATATGACATAATGGTTCAACGGTATCCAGAAACAACCAATTGTAAACAAAAGTTTGTATCAGAAAAATATAAGATTAAATCGGAAGGACGCATTTCGTAAGAAGGTGTTAACCTATTGTGTTTCTGATCCTAATATGGCAAACTTCAGAAGAATGTAATATTGCATTTGTCTTTCTGTAATTCTGATACTAACTTTGTGAAGAATTAATATCAGGAGAGCATAACTTTTACGTTTTAGAGACATTTTATCAGAAGATATGACCCTGACACGACAATTTGAAAAACTTTTTCAGTAAATCTTCATAAGTAAGAAGTACCTGTGATCCTGATACAACAATTTTAGAATTATTTGTATCAGGATATCATACTGATTAAGAAATTGTCACCTCCTTTTTAGTTCTGTGATCCGCATACCAGATCAAGGTTTCTAATAAAACAACCTTGATACCAGATTACATAATATAAATTGGCATCAGGTGAGCATAATATTTGAGAAGGTGTTTCTATGATCCTGATAGAATCATTTTTAGCAATGTATCAGGAAATCAAATTTCAAGTGTCAACTATATTAAGCTTGATTCCATTTTTAAATTTGCATCCGATAATCTACTACTTAACATGGTGTTAACCTCTTGCTTTTCTTATCCTGATACAATTTTTAAGAAGGTTGTATGAGAAAAACAATATAACACTCAAGAAGGTGTCATCATTGTGTTTCTATAACTTTGAATTGGTATCAGGAGAGCATAATTGTCGCGTTTCGTTGACTTTAAACAGAAAAAACATACTACTTAAGTGTTTGTGCGAAGAAGTTCTTGTCAGTGAGTTTTTATGCCCTTGAGTTTATGTGAGCCTGATACAACAATCTTTAAGAGGATACCATAATCGCTAAAAAAATTATCGCCCTGACTATGGTTCTGTAATCTACAGCTTAAGGAGGTGTTTTCTGTTTCTGTGATTCTGGTATGAGCAGTTTTACTAAAAAAATATGTATCAGGAGAACCTAATATGTCATAAGGGTTCAAATGTATCCAGAAACAACCAATTGTAAACAAAAGTTTGTATCAGGAAAATATAAGATTAAATCGGAAGGACGCATTTCGTAAGAAGGTGTTAACCTCTTGTGTTTCTGATCCTAATGTGACAAACTTCAGAAGAACGTAATATTGCATTTGTGTTTCTGTAATTCTGATACTAACTTTGTGAAGAACTAGTATCAGGAGAGCATAAGTTTTACTTTTTAGAGACATTTTATCAGAAGATATAATCCTGACACGACAATTAAAAAAACTTTTTCAGTAAATCTTCATAGCTAGGAAGTACCTGTGATCCTGACATAACTATTTTAGAACTACTTATATCAGGATATCATAGTGCTTAAGAAATTATCCCCACGTTTTTAGTTCTGTGGTCTGCATACAAGATTACATAATATCAGTTGGTATCATATGAGCATAATACCTAAGAAGGTGTTTCTGTGATCCTGATAGAATCATTTTTAACAGGAGTGCAGGAGTTTCAATCAGTAAGACAAAGGGGTCGCCTTCTTCTCTTTCTATATTGCGAATGCTACAATTTTGAAGAGTTTGTATCAAGAAAGCGTAATATTTCAGTATTGACTTTCTATAAGCTTGATGCCATTTTAAAATTTGTATCCGATAATCTACTACTTAAGATGGTGTCAACCTCTTGCTTTTCTTATCCTGATACAGTTTTTAAGAAGGTTGTATGAGAAAAACGTAACACTTAAGAAGGTGTCATCATTGTGTTTCTATAACTTTGAATTGGTATCAGGAGAGCATACTTGTCGCGTTTCTGTGACTTTAAGGAGAAAAAACATACTACTTAAGTGTTTGTGCGAAGAAGTTCTTGTCAGTGAGTTTTTATACAGTTGAGTTTATGTGAGCCTGATACAACAATCTTTAAGAGGATACCATAATCGCTAAAAAAATTATCGCCCTGCCTATGGTTCTGTAATCTACAGTATAAGGAGGTGTTTTGTGTTTCTGTGATTCTGGTATGAGCAGTTTTAATAAAAAAAAATGTGTATCAGGAGAACATAATATGACATAATGGTTCAAAAGTATCCAGAAACAACCAATTGTAAACAAAAGTTTGTATCAGGAAAATATAAGATTAAATCGGAAGGACGCATTTCGTAAGAAGGTGTTAACCTCTTGTGTTTCTGATCCTAATATGACAAACTTCAGAAGAATCTAATATTGCATTTGTCTTTCAGTAATTCTGATACTAACTTTGTGAAGAACTAATATCAGGAGAGCATAACTTTTACGTTTTAGAGACACGACAATTTGAAAAACTTTTTCAGTAAATCTTCATAAGTAAGAAGTACCTGTGATCCTGATACAACAATTTTAGAATTATTTGTATCAAGATATCCTACTGATTTAGAAATTGTCACCTCGTTTTTAGTTCTGTGATCCGCATACCAGATTACATAATATAAATTGGCATCAGGTGCGCATAATATTTGAGGTGTTTCTACGATCCCGATAGAATCATTTTTATCAGGAAAGCATATTTCAAGTGTCAACTCTATTAAGCTTGATGCCATTTTTAAACTTGCATCGGATAATCTACTACTTAAGATTCTGTCAACCTCTTGCTTTTCTTATCCTGATACCGTTTTTAAGAAGGTTGTATGAGAAAAACGTAATACTTACGAAGGTGTCATCATTGTGTTTCTATAACTTTGAATTGGTATCAGGAGAGCATAATTGTTGCGTTTCTGTGACTTTAAGCAGAAAAAACATACTACTTAAGTGTTTGTGCGAAGAAGTTCTTGTCAGTGAGTTTTTATACCCTTGAGTTTATGTGACCCTGATATCATAATCGTTAAAAATATTATCGCCCTGCGTATGGTTCTGGAGATGTTTTGTGCTTCTGTGATTCTGGTATGAGCGGTTTTAATAAAAAATGTGTATCAGGAGAACAGGCATTGGCTAATCAACGTCAGATGATAGGGGATCGGCTTACCGCAGGTCGAGGACTTCCCAAGATCTTCGCCTTCAGCTCCATCGGTTCTCCCTCGTCGACGCCCTCATTGCGATCGAAGTGCTTGCCGAAAGCCGGCGCCGTTTGCGTTAGCGTTATCGCGGCCGTCGTCTCCGCCTCGCCCGCGCAGTTGACCGCCATCGCCTTGTACTGACCGGAATCCTCCTTGTGGTAACCGGTGATCGTTAGGCTACTGGTGACCTGCGTGTCCGCCTTGGTCTCGATCCGATGGCGATCGTCCTCCTGAAGCGGAACCCCGTTGAAGAACCACTTTATTTCGGGTTTCGGCAGGCCATCGGCGCGCACCATCAGAGTGATCTCACCGTAATCGTCGACCTGCGCGTCGGTAATCGAGGTAATGAAGTAGGGCTTTTCGGCTAGAATTTCGCTCGATTAATAACCTGGCATGAGTATAGTTAAAATAGAGAAAGAGAGATAGAGAAAGAGACACACGGCTATATACAGAGCGTCAAAGTCTACTGAGCATCAAAAAGCTGGTAGGCAAGTACTAATTGCTTTGTCACTTACTCAAAGGCTCAGCTTCTTCTGTAAATATAAAATGTAGTGTAGAGTTGAGTGTTTGACTGGTTACAAGGAGGGGGGGTACTTACTTATGGTCCGTAGCTTCGCTTCGGCGATTCTTTCGCCCACGTTGTTCTTTGCGCGCACTTGATACCTTCCTTCGTCGCCCATTCGCACGTTGGGTATCACGAGTTTGTAAGTCTCGTTTTCGGCGTCCTCGACGATCTCCAGCCCGTGACCCGGCTCCACGACGTTGCCGTCCTTATGCCACGTGACCGTCGGCGCGGGATTCGCGCGGACCTTAACGGTGAACTCGGCCGCGTTACCCGGCACGATGGCGACGTCTTGCGGACCGTCGATCTCCGGCCGGAAGACGATCGTCAGCTGGGCGCTGCACTCGCACTCGCCCCACTTGTTTTTCGCCTTGCTGGTGTAGGTGCCCTCGTTCTCCGGTTCGCCTGCAATGGACTCGTTATCGCGGAAAAGCCGGGTCGTACTCACTCTTCGGTATCGTCATCGAGTAGGTGCACTCCTTGAGACCGTTTTCAATCTCTCGATCTTCGCTGTCGAGAACGATGTTAAAGGTCTCGTACTGCTTTGGGGTTATTTCCGTGCCGTTGACGCACCAGGTTATTTCGGGGACCGGGTCGCCGGTCACGACCGCCGAGAGCTTCGATGGGCTTCGTTTGACCGTGGTCTGGTCGTGGAGCGGCTCCACGACCTTGGGCCGCCTGAGCTCGCCTTCGGCTAAACATTTTTTTTAGTATCGGGGTCACGCGAGCGACCAACTTACGTAAGAGCGTGAGGGTGGCCTGCTGTTTGACCGCTCCCATGGGATTGCTGACCGTGCACTCGTAAACCCCCGCGTCTTTGATGTCTAACTTCTTGATCTCGAGCTTGTACTCGTTACCGACGTTCGTGATCTTGAAGTGGGAGTCGGGCTTGAGTATTTTTCCGTCCAAGGTCCACACGGCTGATGGCCTCGGATTTCCCATCGCCTCCATTGAGTAACAGACGTCCAGGGATTCGTACTGGGTTTTGTCGCCGAACGTGGAACCGAGCATGGTGGGAGTAGCTGCAAACATGGCGTTTAAGTGGGGTGGATTACTAAGTGGGCGGAGTATCAGGTGGGTACTTACCGAAGGTCGGTTGAGGGTTAGTGAAGCGAAACACGTGTTAGTTACATTCTGCGTGGGGTTGCTGCTAACTAAGCGTCTTACTAAACACAGCTACGAGAGGTTATGTTCGTGTTAACGGAGTGTATTGTGCTGACACCTGTGAAAAATACCTTCGCTAATCTTCTCACTTTCTTTGCCGATGTCCTCCACCAGGCTTCTTTGCCTTTGTGCTTTGGTAAGCAAGCTTTCCAGCTCACTGTTCTCTGGCTCGGTCAATTCCTTGACTCCCTTTTGGCTGCCTTGCCTCTCGAATGCGGTCTCCTTCACTTTCTGCGCTTGGTTTGCATTTTCGATCACTTCTGCTTCTTCTTCAACTAATTTTTTACCCCCTTTCTGACTGGATTGCCTTTCTAACGGCGCCTCCTTCACTTTCTGCGCTTGGTTTACATTTTCGACCACTGCTGCTTCCTCCTTGGCCCCCTTTTGGCTGATTTGCCTCTCAAACGCAGCCTCTTGGACTTTTTGTGCTTGGTTTTCATTTTCGACCACTGTTGCTTCTTCTTCAACCAAAGTTTTAACCCCCTTTTGACTGGTTTGCCTTTCATATGCGGTCTCTTTCACCTGATGCGGCTCATTAGCATCCTCCACCAGTGTTGCTTCCTGCTTTTGGACTGGTTTCTTCAGAGGTTTCTCTTCACTAGGCTTTTCTTCATTTTCTTCAATTTCGAACCAAGCGGGCTGTTTCGACTCCGTCAGTTTCGCGTCGGATTTGAGCAGCGTTGGTTCAGAAGCAGGAACCTCCTCAACAGGCGTGGTCAATACTTCGGATATTTGGATGGTATCAACCTGTACGGATTTGCCGGGACCCGGCGGTTCCTCGACGATGTGGTCCAATTTTCCTTGGCTAACGACTTCCGGCTTTTCTTTCTTGGTCACGCGCGCTTGTTGTGCGATATCCGGCGAAATGGGCTCTTCCACTATGGGCTCTGGGCTATCAACTTGGTTTTTGACTATTTCTACAGTGTGTTTGGCGCTTAGTACACCTGAGTAAAAGAAAGTGTGTGTGTGGGAAAAGCTATTTCAAGCACCTATCCATTAGGTGTTGCTACTGTACCTTTGGAATCGACCGGCTTCTTGGTCTCTTCAATTGTCACCTCAACTATTTTGCACGGCATGGTCTCTTCGATGGCATCAGTGGTCATCACCTCTGCAATTGTTTAGTGATGACAAAGAAAACAACAGATTGGTCTCAAAAAATGTTGCTGTTGCATACACAGACAGCCAAAAAACAGTTTTTGCAACTTACGAAACGATGGGAAAAGGGTACTCACTTTGCACGGTAACAAAACTCTTGCTACTAACTGTTCCTAGCGAATTGGTGACCACTACCTCGTATTCCCCCTGCTCCTCGTACTTGATTAGGTTGACGGCCAAATTATACGTCTCGTGCCTTTGCGTGTCCCTGGTGATCTTAATTCGGGCATCGGCATTGACCTCGCGCCCATTTCTCAGCCATTTCACGCTTGGTTCGGGGCACGCCTCAATTTCCACCTCCAAGTGTAACGTAGAGCCTTCGTCGACCGTAGTATCCTGCAGCTGCCGAATGAACCTCGGTTTACCTGCAAACCCAGTGTCTAATACCAAACCGGTTGTAAACCGACTCACAGTTAACGACGAGCTTGGCGCTCGTCTCCGTCTCCCCCAGCTCATTGATCACTTTGCACTTGTACTGGCCCGAAAGGCTACTGGTGACCTCCTTTATCACCAATTTACAGCCGTCATCAGACTCAATTCGCGTAAACTCCTTTCGCGACTCCATAATCTCAACCTCGTCCATGAACCACTTGTACGTCGGCTTGGGGAACGCGTCCACCGTAACCTCAAGCTCCACCTTCTCATTCTCGTTCACAGTCATATCCTTCAAGCGCTTAGTAATAGTCGGCGCTCTCTTAACGTCGACCTTGCAGTCAGTCTCAACGGATCCGTAGATATTCTTCGCCTTAAACTTGTAGCGCGACGAATCAGTGGTCACGGCTCCCGTAATTTTCAACATGTACTCATCCCCGTCCTTTTTAATAACGTAGTGCTCATCGGATTTGATTTCGACCTCATCTTTATACCAAGTAACCTCGGGCGCCGGCCTCGACTCGACCTCCACAACGAGCTTCACCTCCTCCTCCTGCGAAACGACGCGATCGCCTCCGATCTTCTTCGTCAGTCTCGGCTCGCAGTGAACGTCCACGTTCCAGAACTTGGACACCTCGGAGATCTCGTTCGACGCGACGACCGAGTACGATCCCGAATCGGTAATCTTACCCTTCTCGATCACGAGCGTGTAAATCTCCTCCCGCTCGATTATCTTGACGCGCTCGGTCGTCTTGATCTCCTGCCCGTCCCTGTAGAAGTGCACGGACGGCCTCGGCAGGCCCTCGATCTCCACAGGTATCTCGATCTTGATGTCGGCCGCCACGGAGACGTCCTCGAGTTTCGTCTTGATCTTCGGCGGCACCTTCACGTTCAAGGTCATCTCGACGGTGTCGCTGCCGAGCTCGTTTTGCGCCGACGCCTGGTAGACGCCCGCGTCTTCCTTTTGGACGTCTTTGATCACCAGGGTCATGGTCTCCTCGTCCTCGTACAAGAACCTGTAAGCAAAAAGAGCGTGGTTTCCAGGGGGGAGGGGGTCAAACTTACTTGTATTTGCCCGTGGGTGAGAGTGGCACGCCGTCGTGCTTCCACAGCACGTTCGGTTTTGGGTAACCCTTGACTTGGAGCTCGAGCATCGCCGAGCCGCCGGCCTGGACGATCGCCTCGCGTTTTTCCATAACGAGCTGTGGTTTCTCCGGTTCGCGGGCGAGCTGATTGAGCACACCTGGATTGGGGGGATGAGGTGTAAGTGGGGGGAAAGCACGCTTGGGGTAGTTTACCGTGGACGGTCAGTTCGGCGCTGCAACTGATGTGGCCGCTCGAGGTTTGGGCGACGCAAGTGTAGAGACCCGCGTCGTCGGGTCGCACGTGCTTGAAAAGCAGCGCGAGCGAGTCCTCGTCGTCGTCGAGAAGCACCTTGAAGCGCTCCTCGGGCGTGAAGGGCTTTCCGTCTTTCTTCCAGAGGAACGTGGGCTTGTCGGCGGGGTGGTGCAGTGCTTCAGGAGGCAGGTCCTCGAAAAGCTTCTTCGAGTCCGTCACTGTAACCGTGGCCTCCGAAACGGCATCTCCGTACGCGTTAGAGGCGATGCACTTGTAATTACCCCCATCCTCTACTTTCACTTCTGGTATCACCAACTCGTAAAACCCCCTTTCCGCTGCATCCTTCACCACGTGACAACGCTTGTTGCTTTCCCTAATCTTCACGTCATCCTTATAGCTGCAAACTCACGTTTACCCCCTGAGGGTGGTTCGCACAGACTTACAAAGTGACGGTTGGATGCGGATCTCCTTTGACTTTGACCATAAACCGGAGGTAAGTGTCCTCCAAGAGGTCGGTGTCCTTCAGCTGCACCAGGAAGACAGGCTTCTCGGTCTCGGCGCGCTCGGCTTTCTCCTGCTCTGTCACTAGATCATAAAACGGATGAGTAACGTCACCTCGCAAGTGGGCCCCACCCGCAAAAGCAAAAGATACTAACACTGAAGCACAATAAGCTGCGCAGAGCACGTGGTCTTTCCGAAAGGATTCGCGGCAACCGCGCTGTACAAGCCCGCGTCGCTAGCTTCGACCTCCGCAATTTCTAAGCGATGCACCTTATCCTTCTCCATTTTGATGATGCGAACGCGGTTCGACTGAGATAAAAGCTTATTGTCTTTTAACCAAGCAACATTGTCGGGAGCGACAGGTAAAGCGACTTCAAACACTGCGGCTTGTCCAGCTAATCGGAGATAACGTAAGCAACTCCAAAGGCTCTTTTTTTGTTTCGGGCTACTCACGCTCTACTGTCGATCCGGAGATCATCTTGATGTAGATCGGCTTGGTGTCGGGCGGGATCATTGGGCCGCTCGGTTCGCGGTTCAGTTTGAACTTCGTCACCGCGTCGCCCTCCTCGCTGGCGTCGACTGATGCCGTGGTACCTTCAGTTTCGACGAGTGTGGTCTCTGAAATTGTAACAACCCTTATTTTATCGCCCTCTATGTATCAAATCGAGGCCTACGAAATAGAAATTCTTGAACTATTGCCGCGAATGTTGGTTTGGAATCGTACTCTGATTAAAAAAATTCCCAGTATTTCGATATACGAATTTTCAGTCATATTGAATCATTCGTGCGTCCTTTCATATGCGCCATTGTCACACCCGTATATGGATTTCGCCGTATATTATTGCGTCCTGCAATGTTGCCAATGTTAATGCTCTGTCATTCCTCGTCTAATCGCATATTCAAGAGGACGTTGATCCGGCAGGAATTAATTTAATTATACGAGTCCAATTGCTTTTCCTTGTAAAGGTGTGGGACTCGGTATAAAATTTTGATTTTGGTTTTTGTCGACGTATGTCTCTATTGCAATTACTTGTATTGAATTTGTAAGGTAAAAGTAAATAATTATAAATAAATGAATGTTTTCTTATAAGTAATTGGTGATCGATTTCGCTTTTATTTAGCATATTCGGACCTTAGCGTCAATTAATAAAGGTTCGAAGATGCTAAATAAAAGCGAAATCGATCACGTATAAAAAAACATTCATTTATTACTATAATTACTTACTTTTACCTTATCTACAAATTAAACAATTTTATTGAAGAGAATCTTTTGAATTTTTACATTTTCGGAGATCAGCTCGGGGTTACGGAATAATGCAAAAAAATTAAAGTGTACGCTTGTAGTAAAAATTTGTTTTTAAATGCTGGGAATAGTATAAGAGACTTCACGTTTCAATTGAACCTCGCCAAGTGAATATTTACTGCCATTAAAGGGGGGTCAGCTGTTAACTATCGGCCAAAAATATTCAAAAGCGAAATTTAATTTGTTGATAACCAAATACCACCTTTTATGTTAAACAAATTTATTGAATAGAATTTTTTGAATTGTTATATTTTTAGAGATCAGCTCCATTATAATTAAACGTATCTGGACGCAACAATGTAGTTTCCGAATGGAGAGTATAATAATTGATATAAAAAGATGATTATCTTATCGAAATGATGTCTATAAATAGCTTACAGTGTTGCCACATGTTTGACGCAATAATATACCAACCTTGTAAAATGTAAACTTGAAAGCGTATACTAATTTACCGCCCCTAGCTGCAAAGTGCTGAACTAAAAATATACAACTTCGTACGAATTGCAACTATTATTCCGTCCACTACAAATTCGTTATCTCTTAATATCTCGAAAACGGCAAGAGATGTCTTTACCGGTGCATCCTTCGTTGATAGTATTTGAATGATAAAATGGCGGGAACATGGAAATACAGGCGATGCCTTTATTGCGTCCGATAATAATGTGCGTAATTGGTAAATGTATGGACGCAATACTGATAGAATATATATACTTATATCGTAGGCCTCGATCAAACTGATTTTAGCGGTGGCCTAACTTACTCACCTCTCATCGTAGTCTTTGTGCTCACCGCCTCCGATTCTTTCTGTACTAACTTGGACGAAGTCGTAGACGAAACCTCGCTTTGTGCTCTCTGGGTGGTCTCGGACACTTTGGTCTCCACCTTTGAGCTTTTCTGTTCCGCAACGATGCTCTCTAAAAATGTGAACGTTACAAATTTTAGGTGGGGTAGTAATGGGAAGAGGTGTCCCCATCGCTACTGGTGAGATGAACCGCCCCTCATGCACATGTAACTTACCGCCCGTCTGCACGTTAGCGCTAAGTGTCTCCAATTCTGTTTGGGCAGCGCTCGGCGCGTACTTCTTTCTCATTTCCGCCTCAATTCTCGCCTCCTCCTCGTCGTCCGGCTCGTTGGCCTTTTTCGAGTTCTGCGAGAGGTGCCTTTCGTACTTGGAGTACTTCGACAGTACGTCATCCTCGTCGCCCTGTCCCGAAACCGATCGCTTGTAAGAATCCCGCCGCTCGTACGACGCCTCCGCGTCCCCCTTTTTCGAGTATTTGCTCAGGAGAGACTCGCGAGTTTCGAAGTCATCGTCGCCGTACGACGTGAGTATCTTTCGTGTGTATTTGGAACCGTCCCCCTCGCCCAATTCGGTTGTGGAGAGTGTTTTTTTGCTTGTGTACTTCGAGCCGCCCAAATCGCCGCTCTCGATCGAGGTGACGCGCTTCTTACTGTAACTGTAGGAGTCGAGGTCCCCGCCGTCGGTCCCATACTTTCGGCTGTACGAGCTTAGGCCGTCGTCGAGATCGGACGACTCGCCGCGATATTTACGCGAGTAACTCGAACTACTGAGCTCTACGTCACCGTTACCCGCGTCGCTAATTGTCCGACGCGCTTTGTAAGTCGAACTGATCAGACCACTACCCACGTCCGAGTCAATCGAGTGTGTCCGCTTTGAGTAACTCGAGCTGAGCGAGGCGGAATCCCCGTGCCGCCCGTCCGTGGAGTACTTGCTCGCGATCGACTCGGCGCTGTACTTTCCGGCTGACGAGTACGTCGACTCGCCGCCGTACTTTGTAGAAATCGACTCGGCGCCGTATTTCGTCGACTCGGCGCCGTATTTACTGGAGAGGGACTCGTACCGCGACCCGCCGTCCGATCCGTACGACTGCTTTATCGATCTTCGACTGTACGAAGAATCGTACTCTTCTGCGAACGGAAATTAACCAGTTACTGTCTGCTAAACTAAGAGAGTAAAAGGCAAAAGAGACCTGCAAGGAACGATTTTAGCCACTGTTAGTGAGCGAAAAGAGAGACGACACGGTTAGTTGAGGTTATTTATTCCAAATTTTACTGGTTTTTTTTTACACACCTCCACCCCTCGAGGAGGAACTGAGCCCGCCGTATCTACGACTCATACTTTCGCTTTCTGAGGCGACCTCCTCGACGTTCTTTTCGGTTGTCTTCGCTTCCGCTTTTTTTGCCTCTAAGCCGGACTTGAGCGCGTTCGCTAATAGCTGTTGGGCCTCGCTCGCTTGAGGTGGAATGAACGGTTTGGGCTCGACCACAGTCTCGGTGATCAGAGTCGATTGTTCCGAAACTAGCTGGATGTCTTCGGACTGTTCCTCTAAGCAGACGAGGGTTAGGCGCAACTCAAACTAGACGACTTACCGATATCGCAGGTGAATTCGCGTATCTCCTTGAGCCAAAGTTCCTTGACGTGCTCCTGGTGCGCCTTCAATTTCAGCGAGTGGCCGCCTACCTTATCGATGAGCTCGAATGTGTCTTTGTCCGGATGGTCCTTGACGTCAACTTGTGTCAACTGCCGATTGGAGGTTAATTGGGGTTGGGCGCTGAAGGGGGCTTACTTTGATTATATCCTTGAGTTGGAAGACGGAGCGATCGTCTGAGACACGCCTGACTTTCGAGATGAGAACGCGCGGCTTGAAGAGGAAGAGGTAGCGTTCCTTGGTTGCGTTTGCGAATGTGACAGTAAACCAGTTGTGCAAGATGAGACGTCCAAGCTTGTGGATGCTTCCCTTGTAGCCTTCGATGCTCGAGATAAATTTGTCGTCTTCCGCCCGATGGGGGACGCTAAGCATCAACTCCAACGCCTTCTTTAAGTTGGCGCAGTCCTCTCCCAGGCACTCGGTATACCTTACCAGCTCCTATAATTCAAGAGGACACAGTGTAAACGTAAGCCATGAGACGATGAAAATGGTGACCCAGTACACCGCGATCCTATCGTTCATTAAGTACAAAAACGCGAGACATTTGTAGATGTCCCACAGCACCATCTGTTATTCGCAATTGTACAGGCACATGATCGAGTAAACGAGCACCACTAGGGCGGCTATGAAGAAGATGTCCTCGAGAGTGGAAGGTATCGTTAGTGGATATGATGTCATTTATACTGAAAATTTTGACATGGCAGGACAATGTGCCAAATTTTCAAAACTGTTTACTAGGAAAGCCTGATTTATTGTTGTGTCTGTCAATGAAAATGAAACCGAGGGGAAAATGGTTCATGTTTTGACTCATTGCTGCCTAAGCTTCCACTAGAATTACTTAGTCTTGTGTTTTTGGAATGTGATGGATTTACGCCCAACTCGTTAGGCATTATAGGTAATACAACCAGAGCTGGGCAGAATACTTTCAAAAAGTATTTGAATACTAAATGCTTTTACGTTCAGCACAAGCGAATACTAGATACAGATACATTGAAAAGTATTCAAATACTTAAAAAAAAGTATTCAAATACTTTAGAATGTATTCGAATACTTTCAAAAGACTATCGAGTCAAAAAGTTTCACTCCAGGATCGTTCGGTATACAGTTGTATCGGATTTTTATATTTGATTTTGTGACAATTAGTCTAAGAGCCAGTGAAAAGCAGACGCAACATATTTCAGTAAACCCTCAATTTTGTCCAAAGACTCTCTTATACTTACTGTTCATGAGTGGGGGACTATCTTAGCCAGATCGAGGTAGGTTGAGTGGCGCTCGGGTGAAACAGCTATAAAAATTTCACCATATTCGAAAGTATTTCAGTAAAGCTGCCATTGTTATATTTTAAATTATATCATTTCTTTTATTGGAAAATCACGATGGCAGATAGTTATGGCGGTTGTGAAGTCACGGCAGACGCTTCTCAAAATTGAAAAAAAAATTAATTTAAAAAATATTTCAGTAAATCTGAAATTTAAATATGTTATTCTTAACAGTATTTCTAGCTTACATTTATCACGGCAGACATTTTCATCGGTTATAACAATCTGGCAGACAGATAAAGTACCGCTCGAGCATACGTATACATGTGTACAGTAAGTAAGTACTTACCTACTTTTCTGTCAGTTTAATTAGCATGTTCTTGAATTTACTATTACCTACTATTATTAAGCATCCTCAGATCTAGCCTCAGATCCTTTATAGTTTTGTATTGTCGTCCGTCCGTCCGTCCGTGCTATAACTCTTTTTTTAAAGTGGCAGATCCTGTTGAAATTTGGTATACGGGTACTTTGGACATTAAGGACGGACGCTACTGATTTTCAGGAAAGTGGCTCAACAGGAACAAAAATTATTAATTTTTTTCTTAACATTCAATAGGTAATACAAAACTAATGCTTTTTGCTTTTAAAAAAATATATATTGTTCGATACATCCTGATGATGCTGATGGGACTTAAATTTACTGTAAGTCCCATCAGGATCATCTTCGTCATTAGATAGGATTAGAGCAAGATTTTGCAAACTGATTTTTTGGTATAAAATAAACCATTTCGAGACAGCCAATTGATTTAACCTTGGAGCAAACGATAAATGCAGATTCTGCAAGAAAACTCACAGGAATAGTTCATTTGACAGACTCAACATCTGCTCCTCAACGTTGGGCAAGGAGTCATGACATTCGCTCCACAATAATCACTCATGTTTTAGAGGAGTTAGGGATCGGAAAAAATCAAGACATTTCTGCAGAATGACAGTTGTCCAATATTAAAAAAAACTGCGACCAACTGGCGAAATTTGTTAATACTTTTGACCAGTACCTTAATACATTTATTACGAACTTGTCTGCAAATAAATTGTTTAATATTGCGTCTGGAAAAGCTGCTACGCTAGAATTTTCTTTTCAATGTTGAACAAATTGGCAATGGTCAAAGAGAAAAATTTATAGATGAATGTTCCGCTGATAGCAGTCGGGTTGAAAAATAAGTATTAAAAAAACACCTATCCATAATTTTACTAGCCTCATAGAAAAAAGAAAAAAAGTTAAATTAGGCGGAAAAGATTAAAATACAACGAAATTTGTTTGGACGTATGCTTGGGATTTCTATGGACCACAAAATCGATATTCTTAAAACGTTATCATATCCAATTACTTCTGTTTCTGATAAGTCAGTTCTTGCTAAAAATCTGGAAGCCAAAATTAGCCATAATCCGCCACCTTATACGGATGTATACTTAATCGATGGATTTTTTATATTACATTCTAATTTAATTTAATCATGCTTTCTTTAATAAGGGAAAAAAAGACCACTATCCTTGTTGAAAAAAATATTCCATTTCAAGGAGGCTTTACAGCTTTAGGTGATGTGATGTGATGTTTTTAAAAGCAAAAAGCATTAGTTTTGTATTGTTGAATGTTATTTAATTAATTAATTAATTAATTAATTAATAATTTTTGTTCCTGTTGAGCCACTTTTCTGAAAATCAGTAGCGTCCGTCCTTAATGCCCAAAGTACCCGTATACCAAATTTCAACACGTCTGCCACTTTAAAAAGGAGTGCTATAGCGCGGACGGACGGACGGACGACAATACAAAACTATAAAGGATCTGAGGCTAGATCTGAGGATCCTTAATAATAGTAGGTAATAGTAAATTCAAGAACATGCTGATTAAACTGACAGANCACGAGGAAAGTGGGAAGCGGTTAGTGAATGTAGTAGCCTTCGACAAGATCTGTTATTGATGGTTGAGTCGAAAGTGGCTAATAGAATACTGATCTGCCACACAAAAATGCGCTGAAGTCCCTCGATCTCAAACGAGGACTTTGATAATTTTTTTTTCAATTTTGAGAAGCGTCTGCCGTGACTTCACAACCGCCATAACTATCTGCCATCGTAATTTTCCAATAAAAGAAATGATATAATTTAAAATATATCAATGGCAGCTTTACTGAAATACTTTCGAATATGGTGAAATTTTTATAGCTGTTTCACCCGAGGGCCACTCAACCTACCTCGATCTGGCTAAGCTAGTCCCCCACTCATGAACAGTAAGTATAAGAGAGTCTTTGGACAAAATTGAGGGTTTACTGAAATAGGGTTTACTGAAATATGTTGGGTCTGCTTTTCACTGGCTCTTAGACTAAATGGAAACTTTCCCTAAACATTTCTAAATTGTTCTCAAATATTTGAATAACATAAAAGTACTGCCTTTTTTTGAGAACGGAAAAAATTGTCTCAGATCGACCCAGAAGAAAATTTTCTTATAGAATGTGGCCTGTAGAATCCATAATTTCAAACAGTTCCAAGATTGGGCTACTAGTTCAAAAGTTACGGCACTTTGAATTTTCTTTCGAAATTGGTTTCTAGTGTATAACTTTCGATTGAGAAGTCTGATCGAAAAAGTACGAATTGTTTTGGATTCTACGCCCCAAAATTAATAAGAAAAAGTGTTTTCTCAAGAAATTTTGGTGTAGTGATTTTTGGTAAAAAAGGAAGGTTATACACTGCCTTTTTTTGGTCCCCGAAAAAAAATTGTCTCAGATCGACCCGGAAAAAAATTTTCTTATAGAATGTGGCCTGTAGAATCCATAATTTCAAACAGTTCCAAGATTGGGCTACTAGTTCAAAAGTTACAGCCCTTTGAATTTTCTTTCGAAATTGGTTTCTAGTCTATAACTTTTGATTGAGAAGTCTGATCGAAAAAGTACGAATTGTTTTGGATTCTACGCACCAAAATTAATAAGAAAAAGTGTTTTCCCGAGAAATTTTGGTGTAGTCGATTTTTGGTAAAAAAGGAAGGTTATACACTGCCTTTTTTTGAGCCCCGAAAAAAAATTGTCTCAGATCGACCCGGAAAAAAATTTTCTTATAGAATGTGGCCTGTAGAATCCATAATTTCAAACAGTTCCAAGATTGGGCTACTAGTTCAAAAGTTACAGCCCTTTGAATTTTTTTTCGAAATTGGTTTCTAGTCTATAACTTTTGATTGAGAAGTCTGATCGAAAAAGTACGAATTGTTTTGGATTCTACGCACCCAAATTAATAAGAAAAAGTGTTTTCCCGAGAAATTTTGGTGTAGTCGATTTTTGGTAAAAAAGGAAGGTTATACACTGCCTTTTTTTGAGCCCCGAAAAAAAAATTGTCTCAGATCGACCCGGAACAAAAATATTGGCCTGTAGAATCCATAATATTCCAAGAAAGTGTGCCTGTAAATCCATAATTTCAAACAGTTCCAAGATTGGGCTACTAGTTCAAAAGTTACAGCCCTTTGAATTTTTTTTTCGAAATTGGTTTCTAGTCTATAACTTTTGATTGAGAAGTCTAATCGAAAAAGTACGAATTGTTTTGGATTCTACGCCTCAAAATTAATAAGAAAAAGTGTTTTCTCAAGAAATTTTGGTGTAGTGATTTTTGGTAAAAAAAGGAAGGTTATACACTGCCTTTTTTTGAGCCCCGAAAAAAAATTGTCAGATCGACCCGGAAAAAAATTTTCTTATAGAATGTGGCCTGTAGAATCCATAATTTTACTATTACTCTGAATGTAGTTGAGTCTCAGTTATAATTTTTTTGTGAGATATTCTAATGACTGTATAGAGCATTTTGCAAAATTTTCACTTGTCAGTCCCTTTTCAGATATTCATCGAAGAAAATTGACATTAACACGCTTTCGGCCATTTCTGAAAAGTCATAGAAAAAAAAGGAGTGCATTCTCTAGACTAAAACTTTTGCTGCAAGTAGTATTATAAGTACTCAACACAGTAATAATATATTATTAGTAAGTCTCTTCTTCTTCCTTAGAATCTATATGGTCTTAAAGTGTAACGATTCACTAATTTTTTTAAATTTTTTTGAGAATGGTTCCGACTGACTTTCTTGCATGGTAGAGAAATTAAAATAATGTAAGTTTGAGATCATTTCATGCTGAACATACACGTTGTTGAATTATTTTGACCCCGTTGTAAATTAGAATATAAAAAACAGGAAAACCAAGATATTTCGAAAACTATCAGAGATAGGAATAGGACATTATTATCAATTGTTGAAGGTTTTTGGAGGAGCTGAATGATGACAGAAAAATATACAGGGTGTTCCATTTAAAAAAAAGTGAGATTTTTTAATATGAAGTTTTGTAACTTTGGATCTAGAGCTGTAAGCTATTTTTTTAATGTTTCAAAGTAGATGTATTTATTTGACTTTTACTTAACCAAGGATAAAAGTTATAAAACCTGGAATCAAAATTTAAGTAATAATTTTGACAATATACTGACGCTTGCAATTGCCCAAGTTTTCTTAAAAATCGAATTATCTTTAAAACTACTAGCGTTTCGGGTATTAACCATATAATAAAAAAAGACGTACAATTACACGTAGAATTCAAAAATGCATTCAAATACAGGGGGTTCTATTTCAAAAAATGTACCATTTGGGCGGGACCATTAAAGTTTGTTGACGAATATTAAACACACTTAGAGAACGTTAAAGACCTTTTATGTCTCTGAACAGGTATCCAAGGCAGCGTGATGGAAACCTCCAGGCTCTTGAGTTTGTTAAAATCCTTTAGAAAATTATACATCCTACTAACTTGTATTTTAAAGGCCCGTTAAACGTGAGAAAGGCCTCTGAAACCAGTCAAAAACATCAAAAGAGGAATGTTTGTTTTAAAAAAAACGAATTGCTCGTTTGAAGCTTGAGAGTAAAACGGCCTACACACTATGCGATATGTCGGTACAACTCAAGTACTTTCGACCGTCAGACTGTGGGCCATTACGTCAGTTTGGTGACGTCCCTTTGAGTTTACTGAGGTGATGCTTTCAGAAGGTTGATAGGTGGGTGGTGTGCGTCAGCGGCGACTGACATGTCTCATTGCTTCTGGAAGGAAAATTCGAATTCGAGCAATGTGCAAAGTTCCAAATTAAATCGGGTGCCACGTCACCTGTCGATTTGCAATTTTGCCAGATAAATTGACATTTTTAATCTTTTTTCTGTTTGCTCTTCTCGAAATAGCTCAACATTTTTGTGTATCGCGGAAAGTTAACGTTCCGTGTTTACAATGTTCTGTTTATCTGCATCTAATCAGGAACGGTGCCAAAGACGCGCCCCTAGCGAGCAATATTTTAATTGCGCCGAGCAATTTTATTCATTGCCGGTAAGCGGGTGATTATCGAAATGGGTCACCGTTTTCTATTTTGGACGCGTTCTAAAAATAAAAAAATGTTTTCGACTGGCGCGCTTTCTGTAATATGACATTCCATTGCGCCTTTATTAGTCAATTGCGCGTCATCCTTCTTCAACAGGTTGCTTTGAGGTTAGCAGAGAAAAACTCACCTTCAGCAGCAGCTGGTAGTCGTTGATGCGTTGTATCGGAAGCTTCAGGTGTTCGGAGAGGGTTTTGTCGTCGTCCAATTCTTGTGACAACTCCTGAAAACAGCGCAATTTTCGATTAGCCCCACTACGCCGGTGACATTTGGGCCGAGTTTTCGAGCGGAGCGGCTGCCAGAGGTGAAATTGTAAACATCTAAAATTATTCCGATTGCAATTCGAAATTTGGGTGAACGACTTGATATATGGGATCGAGTTTTTCGGCGATATGATTCAGTTTTGATGCGTTTCCGTTTTAAAATTAAACCAGAAAGCCTCCGCACGTATGTATATTTAGCGGTGAATTGACGCTATATATACATTTTTTGACAAAGCCGCACGAAATTTTGGCCACAAGCTGGACGGATCGATTTTTTTAATTGGCACGGGCCGTTAATTGCGCGAGCCTACCTGTTGATTGCGGGGCGAAATTCGCGTGAGGTCAAAACGGCGGAAGGTTAGGTGCAGTTAGCGGACGCGTAATAACTGGACGTTAGCGCCGCGACGCTCGCCGTCCCCGGCTATACTTAGCGTTTAGGAGGAGTCGACTCGGATATCAGTCTCACGTTTTACCTCGCGCGCATAAAATTTTCATTCAACAGCAGCGGTCCCCGATCGCACCCCTGAGCGAACCCCTACGCTCGGGCGCCCGATTGAAATAAGCGCGAAGGCCGTCTGTCGCATTCGCCAAACTCATACTCACGTCGAAATGGTCCCTGGCAATGTCGCAGCTGTCCAAGAAGGATTGCGCCAGAGGCTCGTCGGCGTAGTAATTCACGTGCTTGTCAAAGTCGCGCTCTAAGCGTAAGAAGGCCTTCCCTAACAGATTAGGCTCGTTGGCGTAGTACTTTACGCCCTCCATTAACACCCTGCAAAAGAGGGGGTTGAATTGGAAACCAAGCGAGCGAAGAAGTTACGTTCGATGGAAGTCGGCGATTTCGACGAGACCCCCGAAAACCAGCTGCAAATTGTCGCGAATGATCTTTGGAATCTTCGCGTTCTCGCTTCGTATCAGGTACTGTTGGACCACGTAGTCCAGGTCCTTGACGAACTCCTGCTCGGTCTCGACAAGCTCCTTGACGACCGCCTGCCGCCTGAAAGCGGCGTCGCCAGGTAGGCCGGTTCCCGGTACCGGCTCATCGATGCTCTGCAGAATGTGGCAGGGCACTCGGCCCTCCTTCTTCTCGCCTTTGGTCTGGCGCACCAACCACCTGCAAGTCAGCGGTTAACTAGGCAGCCGAACCGGAAGTGGCACACCTGGCGTTCAGCTGACTCCTGGTCGGTGAGTATCTGGAGCTGAAATGTTTCCGCTGCGGCTTCACCGACAGTTTGTGCTTGGCCGCGGTGCTATCCAGCAGTTTTCCCGAAGCAACATCCAAGGCTGGATCCAACTTCAGTCGTCTGCAACGGAAGCAGGTCATCACCAAGCAAAACCACCACCAGAGCCACTTACTTCGCAGACCTCGCCGGATCATCCGTGTCGATGAGCTCGACCGTTTCGCCTTCGACGACGGTCAGCTCATCGGGAGCGCTCGCCGTATACGACTGCCAAGCGACCAGAACCTCACCTTTACTCTTAAGAAGAAGCGATTAGGAGAGAGTTAGAGACAAAACAGGTGTAAACCTACAGGTTGTCTTAGAGTGAAATGCATAGTGGTGGTGGGGGGTGTTAGCTGTTCATGTTCGTCCGTGAATCAAGAAATTTGGAATGTTGTGTGTGCAGGTGCCAATTCACTGCAAAAACGTATACCCAGTTAATTTTTCACGTGTTAAAGAGTTGCACAAGCGTTTGGCCCTAACCTTTGCAAACTTGAAGCAAAAAACAGAAAAACACCTACCTCCTCATCAGCGGCTCCACCCTTAGCGGCCATTTCTTCTGGAAACAAAGCGAAAGCGTTTTAGACACAACGTGATTGACATCATTTAAAATAGTGCCCCGGAAAATTGATCTATATAAAGAGTGGGGCAATCGCTTAAATATCAAATGCATTTGGTTGCACGCCAAAAATACCCGAAAAAATACCTACCACTCAGTTTTTGGGGCAAATTTTGACTTACGCATTCAGAGTAACCTCAAGGAATCGTTTGACATTTGACGTGCGCGCTCCCAAAAATAGCGTCGAGGGTGTGTTTTTTTTTTGGTGGGGGAGGGCGAAACGCACCGGGACGAATAATTATTGCACTTCTAACTCGAAACACTCTTATTAATCATGACTATAAATACGGGACGAGGGGGAAAAATTGCTCCCGAATGTTAAACTCGCGCCAATCGTTGAAAGCTAACTGCCCACTTCAGTTGTAGATCATTGTAGTTATTCTTGTCAGCTGCGTTTAATTTTCTTAATTTAAACTCAATTAGTCCCGATATCTCGTTTTAACTAATTAATTCGGTGACAAACGTTCCGGGGGTTTCGCGTGGCGCAATTCGGCGCGATGGTGGGGTTTCGGAAGTTGAGTTTGGCGAATTTTAAGCGATTTCGTGTAGTCGCGGGGCGCCTGGCGTCTTGCCAAAACTGATAGGTATTTACACAAAATTTATGCGCCGGAATCGTATCCTTCGATTACGTTCGTAAAACTGTTAAGGCACAGGTCTTGGGCAAAAAATGGCCCTGAAACATAAAATACGGTGACTACTTGCCCCAGCTAAAAATACAGAGGTCTGTTTTGCAATTTTCCAAATTGTACTGCCACGTCATGCATAGAACCTGATTTTGAAATAAGCGATGGAGCGACCATTTAATTCGGAGCTGGAAAGTATCAGGAAATCGGCACCTTCGAAGAACTTGCCCAGACTCCCAACAGGCAAAGATAAGAAGGCAAATTACGCATTTAATTTTTAAGTACAAATTATTTGCGCCATTTCAAATCAACTTCCGCTGCAAACCCTTAAAGAAAACCGACCAATACTTCATACAATTCAAGGAATAGAATCGGTGTTAAGTTCTTTAATAGTATCGCCCTTCCTTGAAAAATGCTCCCTCCAAGGAAAGTAGAAAACTGGGTCGCTTTTAAAGTGATACATTGCTTTCGTACAACATTATCCTTCGTTGTATAGAGATTTGTACACCGAGGGGTCTGGGGGGTATTCCAAGTAAGGGAAAATTCAACGACTCTATCCCTACAATCATTATTATCACAAACGATATACGGGGGTATTTCTTTTAATACAATAAGGGACATAGTTTCTGTTTTAGCTGCTATGTCGCCTCGTCTCGCCTTGTTGGGACGGCAAAGTTATTGAAACTATAAAACGTCATTGCCGAGGTGAGGCGGCGCAGGCGCCGAAGCTATAATCCGTATTGTATTTCTTTTAATACAATAAGAAACATATAGCTTCGGTTTCGGAGGCTACGCCTCTTCGCCTGCCCTATTGTGACGGAAACATTGTGGAAACTAAAATGTCATTTATTTCCGGGGGATGGTGATAGGGCGAGGCAAGGCGGCGCAGCCGCCGAAGCCGAAGCTATGTCCCCTATTGTATGTCGTATAATACAATAAGGAACATCGTTTCGGTTTTGGCTGCTATGTCGCCTCGTCTCGCCTTGCTGGGACGGCACAGTTATTCAAACTATAAAACGTCATTGCCGAGATGAGGCGGCGCAGGCGCCGAAGCCGAAGCTATAATCCGTATTGTATTTCTTTTAATACAATAAGAAACATATAGCTTCGGTTTCGGAGGCTACGCCTCTTCGCCTGCCCTATTGTGACGGAAACATTGTGGAAACTAAAATGTCATTTATTTCCGGGGGATGGTCATAGGGCGAGGCAAGGCGGCGCAGCCGCCGAAGCCGAAGCTATGTCCCCTATTGTATGTCGTATAATACAATAAGGAACATCGTTTCGGTTTTGGCTGCTATGTCGCCTCGTCTCGCCTTGCTGGGACGGCACAGTTATTCAAACTATAAAACGTCATTGCCGAGATGAGGCGGCGCAGGCGCCGAAGCCGAAGCTATAATCCGTATTGTATTTCTTTTAATACAATAAGAAACATATAGCTTCGGTTTCGGAGGCTACGCCTCTTCGCCTGCCCTATTGTGACGGAAACATTGTGGAAACTAAAATGTCATTTATTTCCGGGGGATGGTGATAGGGCGAGGCAAGGCGGCGCAGCCGCCGAAGCCGAAGCTATGTCCCCTATTGTATGTCGTATAATACAATAAGGAACATCGTTTCGGTTTTGGCTGCTATGTCGCCTCGTCTCGCCTTGCTGGGACGGCACAGTTATTCAAACTATAAAACGTCATTGCCGAGATGAGGCGGCGCAGGCGCCGAAGCCGAAGCTATAATCCGTATTGTATTTCTTTTAATACAATAAGAAACATATAGCTTCGGTTTCGGAGGCTACGCCTCTTCGCCTGCCCTATTGTGACGGAAACATTGTGGAAACTAAAATGTCATTTATTTCCGGGGGATGGTCATAGGGCGAGGCAAGGCGGCGCAGCCGCCGAAGCCGAAGCTATGTCCCCTATTGTATGTCGTATAATACAATAAGGAACATCGTTTCGGTTTTGGCTGCTATGTCGCCTCGTCTCGCCTTGCTGGGACGGCACAGTTATTCAAACTATAAAACGTCATTGCCGAGATGAGGCGGCGCAGGCGCCGAAGCCGAAGCTATAATCCCTATTGTATTTCTTGTAATACAATAAGAAACATATAGCATCGGCTTCGGAGGCTACGCCTCCTCGCCTCGCCCTATTATGACGGAAATATTGTGGAAACTAAAACGTCATTTCCGAGGGATGGTCATAGGGCGAGGCGAAGCCGAAGCTATGTCCCCTATTGTATGTCTTTTAATATAATAAAGGGACGTAGTTTCGGTTTTGGCTGCTATGTCGCCTCGTCTCGCCTTGTTGGGACGGCAAAGTTATTGAAACTAAAACGTCATTGCCGAGGTGAGGCGGCGCCGAAGCTATAATCCCTATTGTATTTCTTTTAATACAATAAGAAACATATAGCTTCGGCTTCGGAGGCTACGCCTCCTCGCCTCGCTCTATTGTGACGGAAATATTGTGGAAACTAAAACGTCATTTCCGAGGGATGGTCATAGGGCGAGGCGAGGCGGCGCAGCCGCCGAAGCCGAAGGTATGTCTCCTATTGTATGTCTTTTAATACAATAAAGGGACATAGTTTCGGTTTTGGCTGCTATGTCGCCTCGTCTCGCCTTGTTGGGACGGCAAAGTTATTGAAACTAAAACGTCATTGCCGAGGCGAGGCGGCGCAGGCGCCGAAGCTATAATCTCTATTGTATTTCTTTTAATGCAATAAGAAACATATAGCTTCGGCTTCCTCGCCTCGCCCCATTATGACAGAAGTATTGTGGAAACTAAAACGACATTTCCGGGGGATGATCATAGAGCGAGGCAAAGCGGCGGAGGGGGGGGGGGTCCATCCTATTGAACTGTGTCTGAGTCTTTGGCTCAAGGGGGCAACCTGACATCACAATAGAGGTTCTGGAGCACTCAAAGTTGGGGGTGCGCCACGTACCTACCTATGCGGCGAAAGTTATCGTAGAACCTGGGAGTTAAGTACACTTCAGTGTGTTTGATTGGAGAAACAGCAGTCCCCTGGGCAAGCAGAAAACAACAGTGCGTAGCGCTAACCTACCGCAGAGCCTGAACTAATTGCTGCAGGTGAGACTGCGAAGGATGTCGTGTGGTTACAGGAAAAAAGGAGAGATGAGATGACGAAGCCAAGTCTGAAAATCGACAATATCGGCTGTATTGATCTAATTCAAAGTGAGCTGATTAACAGACGAATGAAGCACATCGAAATGAGATTCTTCTGGATTCGAGATTTGGTAGCTGATGGGCGATTAGATATTGAGCATGTCGTAACTGAGAATCACCTAGCGGACATTATGACAAAGAAGATTGACTCGGTGGCCGTGTTTGAGTCTCCGAAGCCGCATTGGGGTTTGCAGTTTTAAAAACACGAAATAGGTCTTAAGCATTTCAAGGGCAAGTGTTGAGAATATTGTGGATTGTGGCCTCATTATATGTAGTAGCTGTAAAAATTGTGTTGGTTGCTATAGTAATAGTAGTTGTTGACTTTTAATATTTAACAATAGAAAAATATTAAAATTGTAACTGAATCTCGTTTATTTAACTTTGAATTAAAGAAGCCTTCAATATTCTACCAATTCTACTGTTTTTTGTTTGGAATCTGATGATTACAACAGGGATAACTTTGGAATATTCTCCAAGCTCAATTATCTAAATGATCACCCTGTATTTAGTGCCGGTGACAAGCAAAATTCGCGAGCGCTGGCAAGTGGCAACACTGTAAAGTAAAACCACAGCTTACTTACTAAGCTGTGGTAAAACATTACATAACCTAAACCTAACCCTACTTTTTGTTCTGGAAACTCGAAAAGCCCCTATGCCCCAAAAAGACCCCTGCAAGCGGTTTGCCTGTAAAATTCAAGAGTGTCTTTCAGGTACGAATCCCCTCACGACTCCAAAATCCTCCTGGTAACCGTATTTTGTAGCGAACAACTACCAAGAATCCGCGTGCAGAGAAGCCTTCGAGGAGATGAGACAATGCTGCATTAAGTGGAAGGAGCATAGTTTCGTTTGTCAGGGCGTGAAAACGGAAACCCCGTACACGATTAGCACGACGACGTCATGAATTACCGCGACAAGATCAAGAAGCAAACCTGGATCCATCGTAACCCGAGAATATTCGTTTGGGTTACCACAGTTACGGCTGTCAGCATCTTGTTTTCGCGTGTGATTTACGATTCGATCTACACCCGCGATCTTCCCAGCCTGGAGGAATTGAGCAAAGATCGTAGTAAACGGTTCGGTCGTTAAATGGAAGCCGTGCGAAAGGCCAAGGACCGTTTTAGACAGTATCCGTTAGTGTTAGGTAAATGTAGGAAGGAGGCCGGTAGTTATGCGAAGTGCGTTCTCGCGAAGGACTCTGTGAACGTAAACGATTGTGCTCGAGAGTTCGAGACGTTCAAGGCGTGTCTGCAGCAAGCGGCCGTTGGTTTGCGTACCAAACTGTAAAAATGCCGTCTCTGTGGCACAGATTTAAGTTGGTCGATTTTCGTTATCACCTTCTCCTCTCGTTCCTGATTCACCTCGCCCTAATTCACTACGGGAGATATCACGACGAAAGTTACCCGGTTCCATTCACCGACGTCGATTACAAGGTGTTCACGGACGCGGCGCGGTACGTCGCGAATTTCGAGTCGCCTTACAAACGGGACACTTATCGGTACACGCCGCTGGTCGCCTACCTTCTACTCCCCAACGTTTTGCTGTGCGATTATTTCGGTAAGTTGCTGTTTTCCGCCGTCAATATCGTCGTGGCCTTGCTGATACGCGAGATCGTTCGACACAACTTGCACGAGTTCGAGCGGTACAGGCAGAGCTGCGACGTGAACAAACTGCAGATCGTCGACGACAGGTCGATTAAGCGCAGACGCAAGAAGCACGGGAAGAGCGACGTCGACATCTCGGCGGACTTCGCGATGATCTTGTCGCTGTACAATCCGATGACGATCGCCATCGCCACGAGAGGTAATTGCGATTCGATTGCCGGAGTTCTCGTCCTCGCGACTCTGTACGTCGTGCAAATTTGGAAAAATTCGTTCGTCGCCGGTATTTTACACGGCGTCGCGGTACACGTACGTCTTTACCCGATAGCGTTCAGTCTAGCGCTCTTTATGCACTTGAGCGAGTTCGCCTTTTACTCGCATAGCCATCGACTGTCGGCCGTTGTCAAACCCGCGAAGGGCAAGAACAAGAAGATACAGTTAAAAGGGGGCGAGAACGCCCTGGACTCGAGCTGTAGGCGAACGGTGTTTAAACTCGAGTACCTGTACTACTTGATCCCGAATCGAGAGCAGTTCAAGCTGGTAGTCGGCTGCATCACGTCACTGTCCACTTTGATTGGCGCCTTCTATTTGCTCTACGGGGAGAAATTCCTGCACGAGACGTACGTGTATCACCTGACCCGAAAGGACACCCGTCACAACTTCTCCATGTACTTCTATCTGCAGTACCTAACGGCGGGAATCAAAAACGTCGGCTTCTGGCAAAATCTCCTGACGATCCTCCCGCAGGTAATTTTGCTCCTCGTGTTCTCGGTACGTTACGGCTTGAACAGGCTCTCGTTAAACTTTGCGTTTCTCGCGTTGACGATAGTAATGGTCGCGTATAATACGGTGCTGACTTCGCAGTACTTCGTCTGGATCTTGGTCATTTTGCCGCTGTGCGTTTGGCAGATACAGATGTCGAAGAAGTCCGCTCTGTTCTTGGTGACGATTTGGTTCATCGCCCAGGCCGCCTGGTTGTTGCCCGCTTATTTCCTGGAGTTCCAAGGTCACAATACGTTCATGTTCGTGTGGGTGCAAAGTATCTCGTTTTTTTGCGCCAATATGGCCATTTTGGGACGGATTATTAAGTGCTATATGGTAGGAAAGGTCCAGAAAGTTAGTTAGACTGCGGTAGTGTGCCAGTGTTGTAGTTATTTATAGCAGTAGACTTTGTAAATTTATATGCATTCATTAAATATTGTCACTTTAAGCTTGTCATTTCATTTTCTCATGGGCTCCAACCCAAGTAAACAAGTTAAAAAGTAATCGTAAACGATTTACATGAAGCGCATTTCCACTTGCATTCATTTCCCATTATTGTAAGATGCAACTTCTATTAAAATCGTAAAAATCCGGCCACAAATATGAAAGATAGCGTTGCACATGGGCAATCCATTTTTGACGTGCTACTTCAATTTCAGTTTATGAGAAGAATTTCATTTCAATGCTTTTCTAAATAAGAAAGTTGGAACTGCGCATGCGCAAACCTAAATTTTGAAACTAATGTTAGATTTTTCTTTGTTCTATGCGCCAAGGTATCAAATTTCACTTAAATGCTTCCATAGATTAAAAAAGTTGGCGCTGCGCATGCGCAAAATAAAATTTTGAAACTGGCGCTAGATTTTCCTTTATTCCAAGTAGGTACTTATGTATCAAATTTCATTTAAATTCTTCCATAAATAAAAAAGTTGGCACTGCGCATGCGCAAAACCAAATTTTGAAATTGGCGGTTGATTTTCCTTTATTCCAAGTGCCTATGTATCAAATTTCATTCAAATATTTTTATAAGTAAAAAAGTTTGCAATTCGGTTTATAAATGGCCGAGATGCGAAAAGGGCACTGTGAATTTTGAATCGATTCGATTCAACTTTTGGCATTGCGTATTATATGGCTAAAGCTATGCCCATATTGAATTTCATGCAATTCAGTTCATAACTAACGGAGATGTAAAAGAGATCGAACATTTCTAAACAAAGTTATCGTTCACACGGACAGATAGATGGACAGACAGACAAAGGAACAGACGGAGAGACCAACCGGCAGGCGACAGATAGCAATGCAAAATTATAAACGATCTCTAGGATCGTTAGTAAACGGCAAAAGTGTAAAATTATGGAACATGTAAAAAACGGTTTTTTGTTTTTTTTACAATAACTATTTTTGTAAGCGGTACAGAAAAATTCCTTCCTTGGTACAAGACTCGACACCATAACGAACCAAATAGCGGAAAAAGTAGAACAATAGCTCTTAAGATAAAGAACTAGTAGCGTCGCAAAACGAGCGGACGGACGGACAAAGTGGTCACAATAGCGCATTTTTATTTTATTTTTGTGGAAATACGCTAAAAAGATGATGCGTATCATTCCTCTGCGTGGGAATTAGCAACGTTAGGATTTGAATATCGCTGAGGGTATCACGGACCTGAATTTAAGGTGCTTCCCTGCTAAATTGCCAAGGAATTTTTGTAATTAATTAATTAAAATTCAACCTTCCTCTCCTACGTAGCTTACGGGATTAGCTGAAAATATTATTTCTCAATTTACAGGGTAGGTGCAGAAAAACCACGACCAGGTGACCCAATATGACTGTTCCTCGGCAATATCTCGAGAACAGTTCGTCATATGACTTAGGGGTCAAAAAATTATTGGGTAAATCGGTCATGAAGAATCGCTTGAAAATATTTTATTTATTCTAAAAATGACCACCAGAGGGCGTAACTGCCATCTTAAATTTTAAAATTGTATTTTCTTTAAATTTCGCATCATAAACTAAAAAAATTCACATTTTTGAAGAGAATCAGTTTATCTATCATCTTCGTAAAAACAAACCAGGTGTCAAATTCTTGACAGAATAGCTTCCTAGCTGAAACCAAAAATTGTCAACATATGTTTTTTTACGCATGCATTTTGTTTGCTTTTATTAGAGGGACCTACCATCCAAATTTCGTTAAAATTGCTCCATAAATAAGAAAGTACCTAGCACATGCTAGGAAGCTAAAAATCAGTTATTTCAAAAACAAAGATGGCGTGGGGCGTTCAATTGCTTTTGCAATAACCTGCTAGTTTTGACACAATGATCCAAAATCATAAAAAAATCAAATGGAGTGATATGACTTTTTCTTTATGAAAAAGTAGCCAAATAACACCCAAAGAGGCCAGTGGAAACCGTTTTTCAAAATCTCGTTCCTAACCTCAAATATTGGGATAATGTGATTAATTAATTAATTAATAAAAATGCTTAAATTGCATCTTAAATTTACTTTTTACGTATTTCCGGTATTTGTCGATGGCGCGAAAGAAAAACACCCTTCACTTTTAAGTAGGCCTTGGAAAATTAAACAAATGAAACACGATGCATTATTACTTTAATACCGTAACAAATGTTTTAAATCGCACATTTGATTTAGTGCTGTCATCTTTAGATAATCTAGAGGTAACAAAAGAATCGCCTATTAGTATAGAAGATAAGCATCATCCACCTTTATTAATAACGATTCACTTACCATTCACGAAATATCTCCAAGGCCTTTATCACAATCACTCATGTGAAAGGGACATTGAGTTTAATTTTAAAGCAGCAGATTTTTTAAAACTTTACTAAGTATTACTTGAACTCTACAAATTTCGATTCTTTAAATCGCTATGCGGATCCTGATGTAGCAGTCAATGAGTTTTATGATATTTTATACGCAATTATCCATTCCTGTGTGCCTCTGCGTAAAAAAGCAACAAAGACAATAGCTATCCTTGTTGGTTTAACAATAAAATAATTCGCGATATAGGTGAGAAACATTACCATTTTAAACGTTTAAAAAGGAATAATAGCAATAAAGATTTCCATCAAATGAAATACGAATGTCTGCGCAAAAAAATTAAAGTCGATATAAAAAAAAAGTGCATATTCAAAATATCTGTCCAATCTAGAGGTCGAGATGAGGTCCAACATGAATGCCTTTTGCCTTGCTAAAGGACCGGTCATTGGAGCGGGAAATGTATCTCAACAATGTCACGTACAGCAATTCCTCAGAAATATCAAATGCTTTTGCGACTTATTTCTCATCAGTTTACAAACAAGTACCTCCGACTTACAAAATTGAACCAAACCATACCAAAGTAACTGTTTCGGAACCATTGTGTATAACAGAGATAAATGAGATAGAAATCGGTGAAGCAATTGAAGAATTAAAGCCCAAGAAATGCTCAGGACCTGATGGTATTCCTGCGTATGTTTTAAAAGGTTGCAAAGATATACAGGGTGTCCCTAAAAGGTCTGTACAACGCGCTACCATGGGTTCTTGGTATCAAAATAGGACGATTTAACCCAACTTACCTCTATCCAAAAGTGCTTCGGTAAGGCGCTATCTACCGCCAAAGATTTAAAAAAAAATCGTTATTTTTATTTTATCGGAAAATGGTTTTGCCGATTAAAATGAAATTCGGGATGTGAATGTCTAATGTAAAAAGGGTCTTTGTGATATCATCGTTTTGATTGTAGTTGCTATGTAGGTGGTAAAATACTGACCATCCACATCTGAAGAGGTCTAAAACTTTTTAACTACTATTTTGACAGTTCTGAATTTTTAGACACTGATAGACAGTTTACTTGCAAGCATTTTTTGTCTCTTGATGAATATTGCTATCTGTGATGGTTTACGAAAAAAAAAAATTTAGGCATTATGAATGGCATGCACCATACATGCGATTGTTCCTCAAAAACCATAAGTGCAAGCAAGAAGTAGGCTATGACGATTTGGAAACCTGTGAGTATACTCCCTAACGCATTGGCGACCATTTCCACGACTGTATCCAAACACTAATAGCATATTAGTTAACTCTGCGTTACTGTATTGAAAGGCCATATTACAATTTTAACAATGAAATTTTAAGTCTTCAAGCAAAACGTAAATTGTTCAAGTTTAAGAAACAACAAACAAACGTTATGCCACTCTAAGGTTTCACAGCCATCTTCTGATTTTTTTAGGAACAATCGCATGTATGGTGCATGCCATCCATCATGCCTAAAATTTTTTTTTCCGTAAACCATCACAGATAGCGATATTCATCAAGAGACAAAAAATGCTTGCAAGTAAACTGTCTATCAGTGTCTAAAAATTCAGAACCGTCAAAATAGTAGTTAAAAAGTTTTAGACCTCTTCAGATGTGGATGGTCAGTATTTTACCACCTACATAGCAACTACAATCAAAACGATGATATCACAAAGACCCTTTTTACATTAGACATTCACATCCCAACTTTCATTTTAATCGGCAAAACCATTTTCCGATAAAATAAAAATAACGATTTTTTTTTAAATCTTTGGCGGTAGATAGCGCCTTACCGAGGCACTTTTGGATAGAGGTAAGTTCGGTTAAATCGTCCTATTTTGATACCAAGAACCCCTGGTAGCGCGTTGTACAGACCTTTTAGGGACACCCTGTATAATACCATAAGTAGTCGAATGTCGAATATTTTTGAGCTGCTGTCACGAATGCTAGTTACGCTGATTAATACCACGAGCGCTTGCGCAAGTGGTATTAAAATGCGTAACTAGCATGAGTGGAGCAGCAGCTCAAAAATAATCTACAAATACTTCGACTACGAATGGTATTCGGAGGACTATTCAATGAATCCAAAGAAAAATTAAGCATAATTACCCACGCGAATGTATTTCCATGACAACAATAAACGTCAAAATAAATTACGGAAGTTGCTTTTTATTTTGCTATTGATTCTATTCGAACTTTTGTGCTCCAAGCTAATTCGTTATGAGTGATTAAATTAAAAGATGTAGTGATAAGTCGGTTGTCGAAATTGATTAACAAACTAAGAAGAATGTTCCGGTTAATACGACAAAATTTCGGGTCATTTTACTGGTGGAAGTTTGACAAATGTCATTGAATAATCGCATTGAATTGTCTGTAATAATATCACAAGAGAGTGAGAATAAATTGAAAATAATTCGACAGGTTTTAGAAAACTTAGGGCTCTCGTGACTATTGCCAAATGGCAACAAGTTTGAGAAAAGACCTGGAGAATTATTATCTAATTTATCGAACTCTCGTGTGGTATTCGATAGATTATTTTTTCACGTTACAATCAAAATCACTGTTAAGATGTTCTTTATAGTCTTCTCCATTCTGTTTCTTCGCATATTCAACCCATTAGTCCTTCAAAATAACGACTAGTTTTGCGGTTTCTTCCAATTTATAG